AACTCATCAAGTAAATACTATATAACTGGCCAAGCTATTTCTAAAAAATTAGTACTAATACTATAGAGCATCTGATACTATTATCTTGAATTGGGAGGCTCAGTTTGTTTCAGAATTCTGAAGAGAGATTTTAAAGATTCTGGATATTAAGCTAAAGCTCTTTACAGCTTATTATACTTAAATAAATGAACAGACTGAGATTACAAACCAGCATCTGATCATATGCCTGAGACTGTATATTAATCACTATCAGAATAATTAGAACAATTGTCTATCAATAATAAATCATGCAGTGGCTGCAGTTAGCACTAGTACTAAAATCTTACTATTTCAGATAGTGAATGAATATAAATCAAGAATCATTTTTAATTAGAAGAAGTAATTATTTGAGAATGCTTTATTGTTCTGAAACAAAACAATTAGTCAGAAAAAGACTCAGAAATAGATAAGATCTCTACAGAAAATATAAAATAAGATCTAATAAGACATAAAAAAGATATAGAGAATTAGAAATATTTAGACAAATAAGCACTGTCACAAATCTGATTTCAGTATTAAGAATAAGATATTCTTGTTACTAAAGAACTATAGTGTTGACTAATCAAGCAGAAAGCTGGTAAAGCAGAACAAAGACTTTTTAAAATAGTAAATAAGATTAATAATAACTATTAGCTCTGACTATTAAGCTTTATAAAAATCTACTCTGTGTTCTCTCTAGATAAGCTAAGAAAAGCTGTGAATAACTCTCTTTCTGATTAAAGTACAGATCTCTCCAACTCTGTTATAATTCATGATAAGAATAAATAGAAAGTGGATGAGATTCTGGCAAGCCAGATATATAGAAGAAAGCTTCAATATTAAATCAAATAGCTAGAATTTGACCTGGACTATACATGATATTCTGCACAGAATCTGAAAAGTTGCTCACATAAGATTTGTATCTTTCATGTAATAAATTTTATAAAGTCTGGGCCACCAAAATAGTTAAAGTAATAACAGAAAGTATGAAAGATTAAAAAATATCTTTTAGATAAGATAGCTAATAACCTGCTAGCATAAGAGCATGCCTGAAGCTTGTAGAGAGCTAAGAGAATAAATATTTGTCTGATATGAAAGCTTGTTATATGTCTATAGCAAGCCCTTATTCTAAGCCCTCTTTCTAAAGCCTGTCTTAGTATTTTATTATTATAGCTACTTAGTTAGCAACAAGAATTCACTTCCTACAGCATCTAGCTAAGCTTCTAACAGTTATTATAGTACTGTTGACAGATCTCTTAAAATATAGTGAAAATAAACCAAAAAAAAAAAGTATTTCTTTTAATATTTACTGTCAGAGAAGTATTTCATGCATTAAAAGTAGTCTTCTCTGGAGAATCTGTTGTCTGTCACTACAATCTAGAATATAGAATATATCTGGAAACAGATACTTCAGAATATACTGCAGATATAATATTGTTACAGTTATTTAACAATAAATAATATTTAATGATCTACTAATTATTCAAGTTTAATCAGACCTAACAAGTTTATAATATATTAGATAAGAAGATATTGATTATCATTTAAGTATTTATTTATTAACAATAGTACTAAGAAGAAATAAAGTATTCTGTAAAGATAATTACAGATTATGCAAATCTTTATTTATTTATAAAGTTCACAAACAAGATAACATAACAATAATATATAAGATAGATAGAGATTCTCAGAGTATACAACTTTAAAGTTCTCTACTGCTCTGAAAAGTATAACTTAGCTGACACACTATTATGAAAATCAGATTATATTAAACTAGAAGAAGACATTGGTCTGCTAATATATATACTCAAACAATATTATACAGATAGTGTTTCAGAATAAAACTTATTTAAAGAAACTTTCTTTAATAAAAAAGATATTCAAGTATATACTGCTCATACTATTCAAAGCAGTGGAATAGAGATAGTACAGAAAAAATCTGATAATATTAAGATAGTTAAGTTAGTTTAGAAAGCATCAGTCAGAGATGCTGAAGAAACTTAATAAAGAAATTATAAAAGATTCTGAATTCTCTGTATATACATAAATACAGTAATAAAAGATAAAAAAATTTATAATAAATCAACTATAAGTATATTAGACTTGCTACTAGAAATACAGAGATATATTTCTCTGCACAAGCAAGATTTGCTAAGATAAAATCTTAGCAGTTAGAGTGAAAAATAAATAAATAAGATCTTTTAATAAAGAGCAGCAGAATTTATATCTCTAATAATTTAGTTCTAAGACAAAAATTACTATAAGTTTATTATAATAATTTATTTGCAGATCACTTTAATGTGGTAAAAATATTTATCTTGCTCCAGCAAAAATGTGATTAGTAATTAATAAGATAAGATATTTAGATATATATATACAAATATCAAACCTGCTAATAAAAGAAGACTTCAACATATAAATTATATAAGCTGCTTGCATTGTTGCTGACATTCAGTAGTCTCTGGTATTTAATATTTATAAATTTTATAACAGATCTCTCTCTGAGTAAAGAGAAGAGAAATTTATATAATATAGTTCTGGTTATTGTGGATTAATTTATAAAGCTTGCATATTTTCTTATATATAAAAAGAAAATTGATATATTAAAAATAATAAATTTCTTATTCAGAAGAATATTTAAAAACTTTAGATTTTTAAACAATATTATTTCAGACTAAGAATTTATCTTCATAAGTGAATACTGGTCAGAGCTATATTTTCATATAAAAATTAGATAAAAACTTAACATAATATTCCACCTATAAACAGATAATCAAAAAAAGATACTAAACAAGATCTTAAAGAGATATTTTCACAACTATTATAATTATAGATAACATAATTAGAAGAAGTAGCTTGTGTATGTAGAATTTACATATAATAAATCAGAATACTCTGTAACACACATGTTTCTGTTTAAAGTAATGTACAGCTTTGAATTTAGAAGATCAGACAAGATTTAGAAGTTGATCAACAACATACAAATAATATTCAGCAGAAGACTGAGAATAATTTTTATATTAAGAGATAGTCTGATAGAATATTTGATAAAAGTAAAAAAGAATTAAGTATAGTTCTATAACTAAAGATACCAAGATAAGATATATACATCTGATGATAAAGTAATATTATTATCAAGAAATCTATAAATAATATACTTTTGTAAGAAGTTAAATCTAACTTTATTTTCAATCTGAGACAGAACAGTACAAACTAGAGTTAACAAACAAGAGAACTTAAATAAACTATTTTTAATAGATTTTGCTTTAAACACAAGATTTATAGTCTTGACTTCATAATATAAAGTAGAACAGTAATTCTTCAAGAATAGAAGTAATCTGGCAATAATAATATTTGATGGCTCCAGAGTCAAGTTCATGAAATTCTTATACAAGTATACTTATGCACTTGATATTATAAGAATAATATAAATTAACTGTATTGAAACTATAGTATTCTTTTTTAAAATATAAGAGCCAACAAATAATATCAATAATAAACTTTGAAATCTATAGCTATATCAGAACAACAAGAAGCACAGACAAAGATATACTTATATTATAACAAATACAGATTTAACATTCTAAATAATAAGCATAAGATTTTTTTTCAGTATTCTATATATATGATTTAGCTTTATCTAAATAGTTTATGAATATTGAGTATATACAGATAAAGCAGAAAAAAGTATTTTTTTTATTATAAGAAATAAAATTTTTAGATGAAGATATTATAATGAATTGATAGCTAATAAAGATAACAATGCTTGCATTCAGACATAATAGAAGAAAAAGAAGAATAAGAGAATAAGAAAATCTTTATTTATATCTGTACTATAATATACTAAAGTTACTAGTTCCATAACTTGTTAATAAACAATATAATAATAAATAACAAATAATACAGCAATCAGACAAGCAAATAAATAAAGAAACAAGTACATGATAAAATACTGAACTTTTATAATAAAAATAATTACTATTCTATAACAAAGAATATCTACTGCAACCAGCAGCAATACATATGCAGAATATCTATATAAACAAGCAGTAGAAATGCAGAAGCTTGTATATTCAAGAATTTATAATACTTTATTAATGACAGAGAAATTATAATAATAATATATAAAAAATCACTTCAGTGATTCTATATCTTAAAGTTCAAGATCTTTGAGAGGGAAATAGTGTTATGAATGTAGATCTAGATTAATAAAGCATCAGACAATATCAGATATTCAGAAGCACTTATGTAACCCCAACTCTGAACATATAAGAATTATATAATTTGCATGAATTGTGGGAACCCCAGCATTCAGTCTTCTAGTTAGAGAATCTCTACATTCTATGCATGACTCCCTTCTATTAGTTGCAGGCATTGAACCTACTTAGCTCTTTTGTACCCCATATTCTGGGAAAACCTACATGATCTACGGCCGGTTCTCCTAACACATATGCAGAAGCTATAGAAATGTCAGAATTTGCCTGTGAACCCTCTTATGCAGATAAAAATTTGCCTGTGATCTCTTATATAGATAAGAACTTGCTGTGAACCCCTTACATAAACAAACAACACCTGCAAGAGTTAAGAGCCTTAGCTTATAAGCTGTTGAAAGCTGCATATATTCTTATGAGATATTAAGTTATGTGCTTGTAAGTATACATAAAAGACTGCTACTGCACAAATCTGAGGCTAGGGGTTCGCGGGCGAATCTTTACATTTTCACATGTTAAAATGGCTAATTAGAAAATTGATATTTTGATTTTGGGGAGCCACTTGGTGTGAGCCGCTCAGGGGTGGATTACATTACATTAGTTGGATTATGTAACAATTACAAAGACTCTAGTTAACTATAAAAGGTTGGGGTGCCGCAAAGATCCTTTCTCTATGCCATCCCAGCGACTTGTTTCAACCTTTTCTTTCCCTTTTTTCTATCTTCCTTTTATGGAGTCCGTGCTATTTATTCCAAAACAAGAATCTGAAAAATGGCGAAGCGCCCTCTTCAAACCGAGGCAAATGTGGAACGTTTACCCAGCGAGCTGAAGAGGAGGAAAAAGAAGAACTCCCTGAAAGTCACTCCAGGTACTGTGATCGGTCAGAATAGCAAGAGCCGTCGTAACATACCTGATGGGAACGACAAGCGAGCTTCCGATAGTCGGTATCTTCCAACTCCAGAACTCAGCGCTCTCCCACAGTCAACAATCGATGAGTACCTTAGTTCCAACTCCATCCACATCGCTGATCCATCTACCGATCCCTCACTGCGACCGATAACTTCCTTCTCCTTCCTTCCTGAGTCTTCAAATGATCTGTACCTTCCGCTCGAAAAGTTTTCATCACCCACTCCCATTCAGGCTGTGTCCTGGCCATTGGCCTTCGCCGGTCGGGATTTGATTGGAGTAGCAGAAACTGGAAGCGGGAAAACTCTTGCGTTTGGTTTGCCATGCTTGCGGAGAGTTCTAGAGTTGAATAATTCTGAGACATCCTGTAAACCATGTGCTCTCATAATCACACCAACCAGGGAGCTTGCAGTGCAAATATACGATCAACTTCTGAGGTTTAGTTCCGCCGTAGACGTGGGCATTGCATGTATATACGGAGGCTCCCCGAAAGACCACCAACGTCGAGAAATAAGGAATGCATCTGTTGTGATTGCAACCCCGGGAAGGCTGAAAGATTTCCAAGCAGACCAAACGATCAATTTATCAGGGGTTAAATACCTAGTGTTGGACGAGGCGGACAGGATGCTAGATAAAGGTTTCGAACAGGACATACAGGACATTGTTAAGGGAATACCTTCCACGCAGAAACGACAAACCATTATGTTTACCGCAACCTGGCCTATAGGCGTGAGAAATCTTGCTGCGTCGTTCACCAAAAACCCTGTGACTGTCACAATTGGAGACTCATCGGATATTCGAGCAAATAAACGCATCAAACAGATAGTGGAAGTTTTGCAGCCTTACGAAAAAGATAGCCGACTCCTAGAACTGCTGCGAAGATACCAGGATGGTGCGAAGAATAATCATAGAATTCTGGTGTTTTGTCTATATAAGAAAGAAGCTATGCGAGTCGAGCGGTTCATTGGCTCCAAAGGATTCAAAGTTGCTGGCATCCACGGAGATATGAGCCAAACTGAACGCTTCAGAAGTCTGGAGGCGTTCAAATCCGGTTCCATCTCACTCCTAGTTGCAACTGATGTGGCAGCCCGCGGGCTAGATATTCCCGCTGTCAAGCTTGTGCTCAACGTAACATTTCCCTTGACAATCGAAGACTACGTGCACCGCATCGGAAGGTATGTACAAACGTCATTTCTCGGTCTCTACATAACATTAAAAAAGAATTTAGGACGGGCCGTGCAGGTGCTGAAGGGCTTGCTATTACCCTCTTTACCGAACGGGACAAGGCGTTATCTGGCCCGTAAGTCATAGGCTGTCACCAAACCGCTCTGGATGTTTCTCAGCTAACTTATGCACGCAAAGGTTAATAAATGTTCTTCGAGCGGCTGACCAGGATGTGCCTGAGAGCCTTCTGAAATTCGGGGCGACCGTGAAGAAAAAACAGCACGAATCTTATGGGGCATTTTTCCGCGAAATGGATACAACAAAGGTAGCATCGAGGATCAAATTTGAGGACTAACAGATAAATTTGGACCCGACAAAGCTTATGAGGTATTGCTGGTTGAGTTTCAGGAATTATTGGTTCGACAGCGGATGATTTGCCCCTTCAGAAAATTTCTTTCTAGATATAGACTACTGCAGTATTAGTGTATGGATAAGAAGTACGAGGTTATAGGACATACATTGTAATTGTAACGATTGCTCCGGCAAAGAATGCGCCAGCCACGTTTGTTTTGGTTGAGATAGGAGTATGCAAGGCGAGCGTACAGCTCCAAGTCACAATGCCAACGGCACACGTTTCCCGCCTTGGTAGCACGTCACGGAGTCTTAGCTCTTGCTTATGCTTGCCGAAGTATTTTTGGATGAAACGGAAACTCCACAAAATGCGTAAGGCCATGTTGAAAATGTTTGCCCACACCAAACCTCGGACGCCCAAATCAGCAACTTTGAGAAGAAAATATGCTGCAAATGCAAATGCCAGGGAGCATGCTCCCATCCAACTTGCTTGGGCTCGAAGTTCCGAATTACTGGCGGCAGAAGATACGAAGGCTTCTGTAATGCCGTTAAAAGCAAGGAACGGAATATAGTAACAATACGCCAGGAGCGGTTCCTGGATGTTTAATAACGCCCACCGCGAGTTTAAGATGACTCTCAAAGCCACGGGAAGGAGAAGAGGCCCGAGTGCCCAGGACACTATAGTTAGGAGGAAGTATGCATGAAGCATATCCTGAAGATGCGACCTAGCAAAAGTAACGGAAACAGGTTTTGCTATCCGTGGCTTTCGGCTCGGAAGCCACCGTCCAAAAGCAGTGCGACTACTCTCTTCGATGGGTTGGAAGACCAGTCTAGCTACGAGACCACCGTAATTCGAGGCCAGTGCATACAGACCTTGATCTTCCAAGGTCGAGAGAGCTGTGAGTATCATTGTGTCACCCTGTGTAAGGAGATGTTTCACGACTGACTGGAAAAATATGCTGGCGCTCCGATATAATAGAGGTAACGATATGAAACCTGAGAGATACTGCCTTTATAAAGGTCAGCGGATGTTATGATGACACGGCAATTACTGCATGGAGTCACTCACTCCTTTGACAAACAAGCTGGCAGCAATGAGAATCCACCCTTGCCAGTAAGACGTTTGGCGACAATAAAGTATCCACAGAAGATAAAAAGGCCGTAAGCAACTTGACCAATAGCATATGGCAAAGGTCCTCGGTCCAACCCCATTCTACGCACCCAAAACGCAGTGCCACAGCTGAACAAACCTTTTGCAAGAGCAGAAACTGTTTCAATTGCTGCTCTTGACTGATAAAGCATATTGTGCTGTACCACAGCAAAACAAGGTTCAGCAAAAAGCTCAAGGACAGTAGCAATCCCCACCAATGCCAGACTTTTATTGAAGTAAGGGGCGTTTAAGATGTTCACAGATGCAACTCGCATGTACAAGAACCCAAATATGTATAGCATTAAACAGCCAAAGATGGCCGCCAGATAAGACATATTCACAAGAGCTTGAGAGGCTGAGTTCGGGGGACTGTCCTTCCAGAGTTCATCTTGGATTATTTTTCCAGGGTTGCCAGAACGTTCTTTTTTTTTGGCTTCTTGAAGGTGTTGAGGTTCTGTTTGAGCTGCAACCCTGATGCTTTCACGAGAGAAATGGAGGACAGTGATAGAATATAGTTCTAGTTGCATGGCAATTCCTAGTGCTTCGGGGGAGACATGTAGCAAAAGAATTTGATTTGCAGAAAAGGTTATTGCACGAGAGAAAATCTGAATGCTGATGAGATACATGGCTCCACCAGTTGCTGGTTTCGCCATGTGGTCACTGATATCACACTCGTCGGCCATGGTGGATAGGATAGCTTTTCTGACTTGATGATTATGCTTTCCATGAAAATGAATGGTGGTCATCCAACTTACTAACCAGGCGGTGAAGAGCTTGGCCAATAGGCAATTGGTAACTGAGCAGAGTACATATTTAACCCGCCATGCAAATAAAGTTTTGGCAGAAAATAAGTGCCAACTCATCAACATATCAAATCAATTTTCAGGCGTCGCGTCATGCTCTCTGGGTAAACGCGTCGGGTTAGACAGCTTCTTGTTGCAATCTGCTCCCATTTCTCCTCCCAGAACATCCAGACCTCCTGACTCACTCGACTTGTATGTGGATGCTATAATATTGCAATTGAAGCATGGCAAATAATATCACAGTTGGAGCACTGAGGTTAGAGACCCCAACATGTCAGGAATACCTAGACTTACCTAAATTCTTTTCAGTGCCATTTTTGATGATACGAAGGAAAAAGTGGCCAAACCTATTGTGCAATGTCTCCATGTGAAGCTTTTATCTTCACCGTCTGGGGGCCCTGATAGGTACCGAGCTGTCTTCAGTGATATATCAAATTTTGTACAGACAATGCTCGCAAGTTGTAAGTGTTGTTATAGCGTGTGAATTAAACAAGTGCCACTAACATTTTATTAAGCACTGAATAATCTTGTGAACAATGGAGCATTGCGGCGGGGATGTTTCGTGCAGTTAAAGTCTTTCCAGGCAAATTTTGTGAAGGGCAAACGGTTGGTCCTTTCACATACCTTCGGAGCCTTTGGGTTTAGGGTTACGTTCAACTAATAATGACAGGATCCTTATCGTTTTAGACCTTGATGTATTAGAGGACCTAGGTGAATGCGAAAGGATTGGAGACCCAAAGCCTTTGGAGACAAAGGTAGCCGAAGTTGAGAAGCCGACGCCCACAGCCATTTCCAGTGATGGATTCTATGGTGTGGTGTCAGAACATTCAGCCGCACAACCACAACGCCACCAGCGAGCAAGTGTTCCAACAATGGCACCCACTCACGCGAATATTTATCCAATTGAGGCACTGTCACCTTACTCTCATAAGTGGACTATCAAGGCGCGGTGTACTAACAAATCAGCCATCAAAAAGTGGTACAATAGAAACGGAGAAGGAAGATTATTCAGTGTTAACCTGTTGGATGATAGCGGAGAAATCCGAGCTACAGCCTTTAAAGAACAATGTGACTTGCTTTACCCGCTCTTTGAGGAGGGTAGTGTGTACTATATATCGAGTCCTTGTCGTGTTCAAATGGCCAAAAGGGAATTTAGCAATGTGAACAACGATTATGAACTTACTTTTGAAAGGGACACTGTTATTGAGAAGGTAAGCCTTGATTGGTCTTCGACATCGGTTGCCCCTTAGAAACTAATTGATTTCCATAGGCAGAAGACCATGAGGATGTCCCTCAAATGCGCTTTAATTTTACGAGTATTGGTCACCTACACTCTGTGGAAAAGGGTACGACGATCGACGTTTTGGGCGTCTTGAAAACCGTTGAACCAGTCGCAGAAGTTCCGTCCAAATCCACGGGCAAACGATACACGAAGCGTGAGCTTATGCTAGTTGACGATACTGGGTATTCTGTTCCTCTTACCATTTGGGGGGCAATGGCGACTTCTTTTGACGTTATGCCGGATTCTGTCGTCGCATTCAAAGGTGTAAAGGTTTCCGATTTTGGGGGAAGATCTCTGAGCCTATTGAACTCGGGAACGATCACGTCGGACCCGGATATTGAAGAAGCCCATAAATTAAAGGGCTGGTATGACGCTCAGGGTAAATTCGACCAATTTGCAACTCATGCCTTGAGCGAAAATGCAGCGATTTCGACAGGTACCCGGCAGGATATTTACAAGGCAATCGTTGAAGTTAGAGACAACCAACTTGGAATGACTGAGAAACCAGACTATTTTTCTCTCAGGGCAACTGTGGTTTTCATCAAGCAAGATACCATCTGTTATCCGGCCTGTGTTCAAGAGAGATGTAATAAGAAAGTCGTTCAGGTCGATTCTGAACAATGGCTCTGCGAACATTGTGAAAAATCAAGTCTTCGGCCTGAATACCGGTACATTCTATCTGCAAATGTCTCCGACCATACAGGGCAACTTTGGCTGAATTGCTTTGATGAAGTTGGACGAGCAATCATGGGCATGCCAGCTAATGTTCTTATGGAACTTAAAGAGAGTGATGATAAAGCTGCAAGTGAGGCCATTCTTCATGCTACCTGCCAGATGTGGAATCTTAAATGCAAAGCCAAGTTGGACAACTTTCAAAATCAGCCGCGGTGAGCCACTTAACAATCAATGAGTTGATACCCGAAACTAACATTTCTATAGTGTTAGATATCAGGTCTTGGGAGCTTCACCAATCAATTTCTCGCATGAGTCTTCACGGCTTGTAAGTTTGATTGACTCTTATGGTATTGAGAAGTCTGATGGAGAATGAGATTGGCCTGCCAATTGCTCTGTTGAGGAAAATAAGTCTGATTAAATTCCAAGTACGAAGTAGTTAAGTAACGCTTTCTACTAAAAACAGTAACATATAGCCTATCAATCTGAATTACCATTCACGGCGTCCAGGAGAAGTCTCAACAGTAGAAAGTAATAAAACAGATAATAGAAAGACAGCAGTGAGACAACATATTTCGAGGATGCGCAGTACCTTGTCAGGCTTCTTGTGTTTCCTTGGTTCTTGGGGGGCACAGATCTGTCTCGGGTGTTGCCCCAGCACACTGCTTATTATCATTGGACTCTTTGTTAGCAGCCGTAGACTGAGTAAGACTCCAATCAATGCCTCCCTCAGGCCCGTATCTCTTCTCCAACCATTGATTGGCCTTTTTAAAATGGCCACAGTTAAACTTTGGATTATAGGACGTTAGTATTCATACTTTTCGATCTGAAGTGGTGTACATAAATGGGTTTGGCTGAATGTGTGGGATAACTCGAAAATCTTTGACTTACGAAGCCATTATGTGCACTCAGCGGACTTGGGTGAACAGATTGCAGGACACAATGCTTTTCACGATTGACATTGGCAACACGATTGGCAGCGGGCCTACCCCAGGCAAGAAAAACAACACCGCGTGAGCGAACCCTAGCGACCACATCAATGGCTTTCTGAGTAAAGCGCTCCCATCCTTGTCTAGAGTGGCTGTTTGGGCTTCGAGCACGAACGGTTAAACAAGTATTGAGCATCAAAACCCCGCGGTCAGCCCAAGGAGTGAGCAATCCCCCCCCATTCGGTGGCGGCTGAAAGGAGGGATAATCTTTTTTAAGTGCAATATATATGTTCTTGAGTGAGGGAGGAGCAGGCGTTGGAGGGCGGACAGAAAAGCACAGCCCATGGGCTTGTCCATACCCATGATAGGGATCTTGTCCAATGATCACGGCTTTGACTTTGTGCAGCGGTGTATGGCGGGACCTTTGGTAGACCGTACAAGTTAGACCTTGAAAGGCAGAGGACTTGAGAAGAAGAATCATACCAAGAGTAGACATCATTAAGAGGGGGAAAAATCTCAGCCCCAGAAGCTACTTCCTTCCGCAGGAATCGTTTTAAATTCAGAAAGTCTTTGGTTAGGAGCTCCTCCTTAAGCTGAGCGAGCCAACTCTCTTCCAGCGTGTCAATCTCCAGTTTCAACAACTCCCTTTGCTCGGAAGTCAAGCTAGCGACCCATTTTTCTTTGCAGAATTTCGACGTGACAGGGCCTGAAGTGGTATTCCCAGATACAGGATCATTTGTGCTTTTTGAAGTTGGGGCGCCAAAAAAAGACGTGATTGTCCCATTTGACTTGGACTTTTTTGTGTTGACAGAGACAGTTGACAAATGGGAAGCATTTCTTTTTAGGCTATTTGAGAGTGACATAATTCAAAGAGACTTCTCATAAAATATAGAAGGAACGGCAATTGCTCAACTGGTATTATTAATAAAAGATGTATCGGTGTGACCAGGTAAGGATAAAATGTGTGCAAGGTTAAGGTATTCAAGCTCAGGTTAAGGAGTTAGAGAATCATAGAGTGACAGAGTCCGTGTTGTGACGCGTGGTGCTGCATAAGACGCGAGTCAGGTTCCAGGGCGCGTGGCGGTGTTTGCATGATTTGCTTCTACAAGTGTGACTTAGTAAATCACCATTGCATGTCAAGCAGAGAGAACTCTGGACTCTGTTTAGAGAACCGACAACTATGTGCAGAGGCTAGATAAAATTGTTCAAACTTCAACCTGTTATATCTACATGTCATGTGAGCCATTGTTCAAGCAGACAAATCGGAGGTAAACATCTGTGTTCCCTTCATTGTAACAAACTAACTCAATAGCCTTCCACATACTCTGTATTTTGATTGTGCTTGATACAGCAAATCTTTTAAGAGACCGGCCCGGAAGTCCACACAATGAAGAAGTCGCAGCAAGCCAGCCTCCCTGTGCTGATACCTCCTTCGGTGCTTAGACCGATCGTGTTTCGCATCTTTACTAGAAAGCACTCCCTTAGTGTTACGTCTGCATCGCTTGAAACCCTTGCACGTTTTGTTGGCAGTAATTGCGGTTGTGGATGGCGCGAACAAGGCCTCGCAGAACTTTTGTTGGATGAAGTTGCTAGGAACTGGAAGCATGCCGGCGGTGGACTCATTGTCGAGGAGGTCAAGGAGCCATCCCTCCATATGATATTGGAAGACCTAGGAAGCCGTATTAGCAACGGACGCATCCTGCCGTTGCCGCAGAACATACCAGAGCATCCTATGGAAAGCAACCCTAAAAATGAAGGGAAATGTCATTCTTCTACCGAAATGTCGTATCCTTTGGATGACAGATCGAAAAGCATTGATCTACAGGGTGGTGTTTGTGAAGATAATATATTTTCACCCAATGATCCGCGTCAGTGGATTCGGGTAGTCAACGCTTTTGACCAACCTCGATTACTATACAACATGGACAAACGAAATTTCGCACTATCGCCGTCATCGGCATCCGTGTTCCCATCGTCATCGAGTAGGATTGATGCATTCCGGGATAGATACAATCGTGTATATCAGCGTGTCCTCCGAAACAGCGCGTTTCGGCAACCCTCAAACGTTTCAAGACAATCACGTCAACTTGAATCGTCAACATCATCAACCAATAAGGGCAGTTACAGTCTCACCTTCGTCTCGAGTCTTCAAGGACGACCGGGTACGTCACACTTACTTCTCGGTCTACTTCACCTATCGCCTATTGGTGGTTTTTGCCTATCGGATCTTACTGGTAGCGTTGCACTAGATTTGCGTTTTGCAAAAGGTGTGCCTGAAGGTGAGACGTGGTTTGTACCAGGAATGGTGCTTCTCGTAGATGGTATCTACGAGGAGCAAACTTCTTCAGGTCCTCTGCCGAGCATTTCTGGCGGAATCGGGGGTAATATCGGCGGAAGATTTGTCGCCCTATCAGTTGCTGGTCCACCTTGTGAGCGAAGAGAATTATCGCTTGAAACAAACTCGTCTTCTGATCATTCCTCAGCACCCATTAGTGGGTTCGGTTGGACGGACTTCCTTGGTGTTGGAAGTAGGCGTGCAGAAGGCAACCGCATGAGACAGATAAAGCAGCAATGCTTTGAGACTTCTTCGCCGATATCAGCTCATGCTCGGACCCAGATAGCTCTTATGAGTGATGTTAACTTGAACAACCCAAAAACCCTACAAGGTCTCTCGAATGTTCTTCAGGTTTACAATAATCTTCCTATCGAGCGCACCCCTCTAGCATTCGTGCTAATCGGCGATTTTGCTCAGCAAGCCATCATGACTGGAAAGGAAGGCGCGTGCAGTGTTACTTATAAGGGGCTTTTCGATCGACTTGCCATTATTCTATCCAGTTGCTCTCGTTTGCTGCAAAATTCTACCTTCATATTTGTGCCAGGGGATAATGATCCTTGGGCATCCAATTTTTGTGCTGGAGCAGCACCGCCCGTGCCACGAGGACCTATTCCAGACCTTTTCACTTCTCGAGTGCGTCGAGCATTCACCGTAGCCAACGCCGAAACTCAAAGTTGCCGAGCCGCACATCCGGGGGGGGAGGCTATTTGGACCTCTAATCCTGCGAGACTGAGCATATTTGGACCAGTTCAGGAGCTAGTTATTTTTCGGGATGATATTTCAGAGAGGCTAAGACGTATGGCTCTCAACTTTCGAGATGGGTCTTGCCAGGAACCAATATCTGCAATGCCAGTAGGCCATTCTAAAAATGAACGTCATCATGACACATATACGGATGATATGGCCTCCGATTTCCGAGCCACTGCTCCGGATTTGGAGCGGTCGCGGCCAACCGAAAACAATCGCATCAAGGAAAACGTTGGAAATGTTGCAGCGCGAAAACTTGTCAAATCAATACTTGATCAAGGGCATCTCTCTCCTTTCCCAACGACTACCAGGGCTGTATTCTGGGATCATGCGTCGGCTCTATATTTATACCCGTTACCCACATGCTTAATTTTAGCTGATACGTCCACCGGTCCATTTTCAGTCACGTACGAGGGATGCCACGTTTTAAATCCGGGGAAGTTCGTAACCGACAGCGCTCCCAATAAAGTTACTTGGGCGGAATATGATATTAGCACATGCAAAAGCTGTATACGTGAAGAGCAATTCTAGCTAACTAATACAGTAGCTTGGCGAATATTGGTTTCCTATGATTTCAAGAACCAAGCACACCCCCTACTTCGCTATTCTATGTACGGAGTAATGTTGGACGAGTTCATATCTCCCGATACTACACCACCAAGAACAAAACCTTATCTGGATTCCCCTTCCGGGATAAACCATGATCCGACTTGAAACCTTCCGTATCCTCAGCAGGAAAGACTAGCTTTCCATCTTGCCATCTTTCAGATCAGAAACAATGACCACTTAAAATGGTGGGCAACATACGGATCCTACCAGATCAAACTAATGAAGTTGCAGGTTCATTGGGTTCAGAGATTCCAAGACGGATTCGATTCCCAATAACAAGAGTCCGAAACCATCAAGAGGAATGTCGTATTTAGGAAGTTTAATCCTAATCGAATAGGGAATCTATGCATGCTTATGTAGTTGTGGGATATGTGCATTGAGCCATTGAAATGWCAGTACTCACAAAAATGCAGWACAATGGATACTTATTTAATGGGCAAAGCAGGGACAGCATGAGAGAATTACGACAGACTACATGTTATCATAGCAGTTACTGACCTTGATGGAAATGAGACATCATGGCCGTTAAACTGTACAAATCTCTCCCCTGTTCTATTTTATCTGAGTAATTGATTACTATGTACCTGTGCATTAATCGATTGCGATTACATCTACATCCCGAGCAGCGGCTTCTCCTTGGCGCACACTTTGAACGACCACATTCGAGTTTCCATATGCGTGCTCAAGAGTAGGTGCAGTAGTAGTCTGTATATGACCTTTCTTATTTTCATTCTTGGGAAGATATCTTCCGAATTCACAACCAGCGCTGGGGCTTGAGTCCGTAGGCTCACCACGTTGATTTGACTTCGCCATCTGACTTATATAAGACTTCATTAATTGATGAAGGTCGAAAACGAGGCGAGACACATTCGCTGAGTATGCCATGGCACCTTGATTGATTCCCCTCCATCCATCACCTTGGGAATTGTATATTTGATCCTTTAAGCGAAGCTCCAGGGAAGGGTGTTTGGATCTCTCAGGTCCCGGTGTTGAATTTTGAATAACCCAGACCACGTAGCTTTTCCGCTGGCTGGCGCTGACGTTAAAGCGATACCGGAGGAATGGATACCTTATTTGGTATAGTCTTGCGCTGCGTGCTGTATATTGGGCTTGGAAATACCATGCATTATCAATGTACTCCTCGGCACATATTCTCTCTAAAGTGACTAACAGTGGGAGTGTAATGTTGATAAGCTCTAGAACTAGGCTCATACCATCCTTATGCGAATTGAGGATGGCTGAGAGAGATTCCGTAATGCGGCGGTGGGGATTCTGATAGTTGAAATCAATGCCGATGCGAGGGTGGAGTATCGGTTTGGTGGTTGTCGCCGGAAATAACAGCTTAGATTCAAAGTGCGATCCCTGGTCATGATAACTAAATTTGATGCTTCCGCGTAGTTCTCCCTGCGTTGGATAGGAAAAGTTTATTCGTGATGGTGATAATGAGTGTGGTTGAAACCCTTGGGATTTCATTGACTCAACAACAAAAGCAATATTGTTCATTTGTTGTAGCCTTTCAAGCAAAGGAGTAATGATGGGTGTACCAACCGGGGTGCGAAATAGAATGGCAAAGCCTCTCCCCTTGGGTTGAAATGCGATGTCTCGAACCGATTTCGCATATAGTGCACCAAACATGTCAATGTCTGTCATTAAGCGCCCATAAACCATAGTTATGGCGTGGCCAGATTGCTGGTCAATCCCTTTGAACGAGATTCTAAACGTTTCATCTATAAACGACCGCCTAGGACTTCCGCCTGAAAAGATCGTACGGAACTGAGAGGGAAAATCGTCGTGCCGAAGGCGAAGATATATACTCGGAACACGGAGGCAAGGCTGTAGCAACAAGTCTTTGGGAGGTGGGAAAAAGTGAATTGCGCCGATTTCGTTTAAGAAGTCGACATTACATTGCACCATAATCATCCCAGAAAGCGCGCTGAGGAGACTGGAAAAAGACGCATTATGCAAACGTCCTAACCAGCCAGTAAACCAGCCAGTTATAACTTTGGCTCTCTGGGCTTCCAGCAGCCTCCAATGACTTTGGAGCGCAGGTGGATTTTGAGTTTGCAACTGGACAATCCACCAATTATCCCCATCCATTGCACTAGTAAACACGGCGAGCCACGATGGCTCCCAGCATTTTGCTCGAAATAAGAGCATGGAGCGAAGAGCGCTGGGTGGGAATATCCGCTTGAGACTTTCGAGGTTCACGTGTCTTAAGTTTAAAGGCATCCATCCGACGGCTTTCGCATAACGTTCGACTTCTTCCAACGCGGAAACGCAGCGCAGCCTCGATACTCGCTCAACGATATCCTCGACGGACCCTCTGTCAACAATTATCTCTGTATCGTATCGAGTTATTGGTGACGGAGTGACTCGCAATACCGTATCACCAGACACGGCTTCCACCATTATATCCAAGTGGCTCGTTTGGGTCATCTGCAGCTCAAGATAGCAATCTCCAGGCTCCTTTGAGGAAGCGCTCATGCCGATATAAAGTCCCCCTAGACAATACAAGCGGTTTTGGCGGAGAGCCTCAAAGGCGGTTCGTAAAATGTGCGTAATGTGCAATGAAATAGCGCTGAAAAGAATTGACTTGGCACTTAGAAACGTTAAATTGAAATCTATATCTGTGGCGCTGACTTCCTCATTATCACGAAACCAACGTAACTGTAAGAAAGACGTGGTAGTTCCCGTACTCTGTGGAGATCCTTTGAGGCCACTGTGGACTCCTATCTCAATCCAACTTTTTCCTCCTGGCTTCTTGCTCCAGTATTGCAAAACCAGAGTGCGATGGAACAATTCAACACGCAAGTGCTCCGACCAGTACGTGCGGGCGAGGTCAATAGCCTGTTTGAAAAGGATAGTTATTTTATGTGTTAAAATAAGGTTATGCAGCAAGTTGAAGCACCCAACGAGGCCAGCGTTCATAAGGGTGGAGTTGACTTGATGGTCCACGATACTTCGTAACCTCCCTTTTGGCAACGAGGAAGGGAAGAACAGAAATTTCATATCGACTAAGAAAAATTGCGCCGATGGTGACGCAGACGCAACTGAAAGATCAATTTCAAACTCGTTAGGGACAATGAAAGTGACCCTTCCATCATGAACAAAGTAATTCTGGAGGGAATCGGGGACATGATCGTGTAGTGCCAGTCGCATGTCGATGAGCTTGTTGATACCCCGGAGTAATCTAAGCACTTGGCTTGGTGCTAATGGCCGCGGGGAGAGAAATTCGAGCTACAGATAAAACGTTAGCCTCTAGCTAAGAACTCCCGAGATGTAGGTGGGAAAGGACTCCTAACCCCGTGCAACGCGTCGATTTTTCCAGCCGAGAGAACATGTGAAGCGGTTTTTAAATCCGGGTTGGCTAATTGGGCGACGATAAGATTTTGCTTCATATTTCCGATATGGAATAGAGCACCCTCATAAAATCCAGAGCGCATGCGAATAAAAGCTTGGATATCAATAAGCCTGCTCACTTCGTTGGCGTGTCGACTCCACTGTGAAAGAACTAGCAACTTGATGAATTCTGCTCGTCTTGAATGAGTAAATTCAAGAATCCGGAGTTTCTTAAGAGAGTTTTCAGTCGCTTGATCACCTCGGAACTTCTCGCTCATTCCATTTTTGGTTGCTGACAACTGGGAGGATATGCCGGTCTGATATGCCTGGGTGCTACCCATCTCGTTCAAGAGCTCATTCAAGTCGTTCCACGACTGCTGAACAACTCTATTAATGAGATTATTGAAGGGGAAAAAGCCAAGGGTGATATGTGAAAGCTCGGGAGGTAGTTCGTGCAGACACCCGATGTGGCTATCGTGTAGCCCATCAACTGGAGAGTGGGATTTCTTCCCGATTCCATTGGGATAAATACCCCCATTGGCCTGTTGTGAGGCGGAGGCTGGGTCATAGTGTATATCAGCGACTGTTGCCCTCGACGCCATTGCGCTGGGGCCGTCCATGGCAAGGCCTGGCATTTCTTGGTCTGTCGAACTTTGCAAATCCTGGGCTCGAAACACTCGAGAAGAGAGGTTTAATATCTTTGCCCATACACCATAACAAGAAGGAAATCGATAGATTCTCAGGAAAGGTTTCTTGGCTATATAAATAATTAAGGCATCAATTCCCTCGCTCGCTTTTTGATAGAAGATGGGAGGTCAAAGAATCGACATAAAATTAGTGGCGTAACTAATAGTCTTCGTACTGAGTACGGGGTACTGGATACAGGCTTCGTACTCCGTACAGAGAGCTATCCGTAGCAGTGGGAACCCGCTAGTTAGTTAGTTAAACTAGTTAACTTAAGAGTTAGTTACTGATTATCTAATTCTGAAATGTTAACTAACTTAGTTAAGTTAGCCCAGTGACCACCTTTTTGCATGCCTTCCCTTCCATGACGACCATTGTCAGACTCTCTTCCCCAACTAATAGCTACATATTTAAACACTATTTCTACTTTCTACCAGACTACGTACTTCAGAATTTTATAATTCACAGTTTTTCTATTTGAATAAAGATGTACAACCCCATGGCTTCCTCTCAGATGTGATTACTTCCTTTTGTCACAGCCGAGTCTTATTCGCCACTGGTTAAGCATCCAGGTTTCCAGTTTGCCTCCCTTCTAAATTGATGATATCTCCGACCTTTTGCTATCAAGACATCTTTGGTGCACACTTTTGAGTGTTCCACATTCTTTCTTTCACCGGGTAATGCAGAATACGGCAGAAAGAGCAGGCACCTGGGATTATTATGTTCATTCAGTAATCTTGGGCATTTGGGCTTGAGAACTGTGCTCGTTATTCCTGCCAATTTCCAGACATATCTTCTGTACACACACGACTGTTGTCATAGACGCAAGCCCCTCAGCCTATACTGTATATTATTTGTTGTCGCTCAATCCCTTTACTGGTGAGTATAGGTGGCTCTGAAGGGAGGTGCTCTTTTACTCTTTAACACAGTTGTATACTCCGTACACACTTTGCTTTTCTTGCTTTAGGACACCCAACTTGGAACAATCAAATATCGTCAATTGTTTGCAACCTGCGCTATCTGACCATGAGTTCCTCCGTCCATTTCAAATTCAAATCTCAGAAAGAGCCCTCTAGGGTATCGTTTGATGGTACTGGAATCTCTGTTTTTGAGTTGAAAAGAGAGATTATCAGCCAAAATCGCCTGGGGGATGGCTCCGATTTTGATCTTGCCATTTATAATGAGGACACCAACGAAGGTACGTGGTCCGGGTCTCTTGAGTAGCATTATGTGGTGTTATCCCGCTGACGTGTGGTCTCTAGAATACGAAGATGATACTGCTATAATTCCCCGGTCGACCTCCATTATTGCTCGCAGGCTCCCAGCGTCAAGACCAGGTAAAGGAACCGCAGCTCGTTACATCTCTGGTAAAATACCGGTGACTGGGCGCCCATCCTCCCGGATTGAACCGAACGTTACGAGTCGCCCAGGAAGTGGTGGTGGCAATTTAAGGCCTGATTTGAACAGTGTGCAGTCAGAAGACGAGAAGATCAAGGCAGTTTTAAATCTTCAAGAATCTCAGTGGAGGGAGCAACAAGAGGATATGGCTACGTTCGTGCACTTTTTGATTAGCTGATATACCGAGAGTTTAGCAAGTTTCATGGGATTGTTAGCTGACGGTGGCCTGAAGCGCGACCCCAGTACCTTCCAACCGAAATCGAGGAACTTTTGCTACCGCTCCGGAGCATCCCCCTCCTCCAGGCTACTTGTGCTATCGCTGTAGGCAGAAAGGTAAGGGTGGAATATCTTTGGTTTGTGTGAAATCCCCGTTGACAGAAATACAGGGCATTGGATTCAAGCATGCCCCACCAATAACGATCCGAGGTTCGATGGTCGTTACCGTGTAAAGCGTTCCACTGGGATACCACGTTCCTTTCAGAAACAAGTAGACAAACCGGAGCCCCGTGCACTCGATGGCTCCGATGAGGACCCAAAGCTTTCTGGAGTCATGGTCAATGCCGATGGGGATTTTGTCATTGCTGAGCCGGACAAGGCGTCATGGGAACTATATCAAGAAAAGACTAGTGCCGCGACGGCGGCGGCGGCAGAGCTTGCAGCTATTGAAAATGGCAAGAATCTTCAGTCTCTTAATCTTCTTTGTCCCATTGACAAGCGATTATTCCTTGCCCCAACTAAGACTCCGTGTTGCAAAAAGACTTATTGCAATGATTGTATCACAAATGCATTGATTGAAAGCGACTTCGTTTGTCCAGGATGCAATACTGAGAGTGTACTACTCGATAACCTCTCTATTGATGAAGATGCGATTGCGAGAATAAAGGATTATGAGGCCAAATCTGTTGGAGTCTTGAAACAGGGAGACGCCCAACTCACTGGCGATTCTAAGTCCGATTCCAAAAGTATATCAGAGGATGCGTTAGAGCTTTCAAATGAGCCTGGACCGAAAAACACAAAAAAACGTCCCGCCAAAGAGCGAGGAGCGAATGAAAGCGTCGATTCCACAGCTGCCCCGAGAATGAAAAAACAAAAATCCGAGGAACGTTCAAACCTGGCTCAGGGCTCCAAGTTAGAATCTACAAATCCCTCAACTTCGTCCTTCAACCAACCTTGCAATTCTTTTGATTACCCAGCAAGAACGGAACAATTACAATCAGATCCGTTGGTCAACCAGGGCTTTCCAGCTTTCAATCCATATCCCAACACCGGAAATATGTGGAATCAGCAGCCCGCAGTTAATTATCTGCCCTCAGGACAGACAGGTTTCTACCAAGACAATATGGTTCATCCAATGGTTCCTATGGGTGGTCATGCCTCGCCTAATTTATTCTCGGCTCAACCCAACTCTCTTGTCTATGTGCCTGCTTCGAACCATTTCTTTCCACCATTCCCGGTCCAGCAGCCCCAAGGAATACCCCCCTTCTCTAACCAACAGCGCACAACTTTCAGTGAACCATTTGCCAAAGAAGAGGACAATGCCTATTTCCGACAACCGGTGAATCCACACCGTCATCAGGCGAAACAAAGGAGACTCAGGCCTAGTGATTACAGGGAACTTTAAGGGAGTCTGCGATATTCATTCAGTATTAGCGGCTCCAGGGAGTATGACTTCCGGACTTTACGCTATTACGGCTACGGAAAAAGAAATAAAAAATGTACATATATTGAACTCCACGTCAATTTGGCTGTAGTTTCAAGTATTAGACAGGCCAATACAGTCTTATGGTTCACCATTAAAATCCCGTTTCATTGCCTCTGGATGCATATCTACACGTTTCCCAAGTGCTGTTGTTGCTGGTGCATAAATATTTTCGGTGAAACGAACGGATATTGCCCGCCTTCTGAACCGCAAAACCAAGCGTAATCGAGGTAGATCAGAATATCACTTACGATACCACATACGGGTAATTTGAGTGTGCCGCATCTTTTTTTGCAGTTGAAAAATGCCGTACATCAGCGCCTCCGACGTTGGTGGGCCTTGAAACCACGTTAGTGGCGAGCACTTCATGGCCACAATGGTCTACTTACAGCCAGGCACGTATATATCCACAGGTACAATTCTGTCGCATCCTCGAGTAACGGAGTAGCTATAGTGATAATAACCGCCGCCATTCGCACAGCTCCCCATGCTGATCACCCACCGAGGGTCTGGCATCTGATCGTATACTTGTCTCAAAGCCGGAGCCATTTTGTTTGTCAAAGTCCCAGCAACTATCATGACATCGGATTGACGAGGAGAAGCTCTGAAGATAATTCCTAAACGATCTTGGTCGTAACGGGGGGTCGATAGATGCATCATTTCCACTGCACAACATGCGAGACCAAAAGTCATCGGCCATAATGAACTTTGCCTTGCCCAATTTGCGACCTGGTCAAGCGTCGTCCTGCAGAAACAGGATCGATAAGCGAATAGAGCAAACATATAATGATTTCATGGGTTATAGGAGACGAACAAGGCAAACTGCATGGCACCCTCCTTCTTCTGCTGGCTCGGAAGCGGCACTTCTCTTCGGTCTTTTTTCGTCTGAGTCATAGAGGATTGCGTTTGGGTTTCCAGGGAAGCCGAGGCCTGGGCAGATGAAGCTGTGGAAATCCAAGTTGGTGACAGAATCTGCAGCGCAGGGAGTACTGGCCGAGTTTTCACTACAGGCCGACCATAAGTAATTACGCGCCCGAGGGGTTAACGGGGAAACTGGTGTACCTTTAAATAGGGCCAATGCCCTTGCTCTATGGCAAGAATGCATAACTTCGCAGTGGTATATTCAGCTAGCAGCTGGCTCTTCTTGGGCAACCGCTTTGGGAGAGCTAGGGAAGGTTCCTCCTGGCATTGGAGAGATTGAGCCGAGCATGCGAGTTCATGTTCTCTGGAACTTCGGAAGTATGTAACTAATTAACGTTAATTATACTTAGTTAGTAATAGAGTTTAGGGTACGGTGTAACAGTATTGTATTTTGATGCAGAGAGCGCTGCAACAGCGCTGAGTGGAACACCACATCTACTTCGTACAGAGTACTCTGTACGGGGTACTCCATACCTATTAGCTTACTGGAGTTCAGGCACCATGTGCCGGTAACTACTCCACTGAGCGCAGGTAAGTTCCTCCATTATCTTCTTGCTCTTAGTTACTTCATCCCACAGACTCTGGCAAGTGAACATTCTGCGCCACTCAGGACTTTCTACCTTAACAATTAAGTATCTCTAGGGATTTTCTTTTAATTCACTTTTCCCGTGGGTTGACCAGTAATACTGTGCTCTGAAGTTGTGAAGCACAGTACTGAGTACATTTGATATCCAAAGCCCGCACCAAGGGTTATGTGAGATATCATACCCATTGTTTGGATGATTCAAATTGTTACCCATCTTTCTAAGCCCTTCACTATGTTTCACTCCAACTGACAGGCACCTTCAGATAGATCCTACTACTGAGGCCCCATAGCCTAGCCTTTTAATTTTGCCCTGCTAGACTGACTGGTTCCCATCGTACCTAGCCTCTAATTTGTCTATTACAGTGATTTCCTTCCTAGCAATCTCTTTCTATCAAGATGGCTGATATGCTTTCTATTCTGTTATCCTTCCCCCCACAGCCCCCTAAACCTGAAATTACATCTGAATGTGAATATAACCAAAAGGCTCGTGCTCTGGTTTCTCGTCTCCGTCAGATCCCCCCCAAAGATTTGACTGGACAAACCGCAAGCAAAAGTCCGCTTGATGTGAGTCTCCAAGAACTTAGTCCTCTCCAATCTGACTTTGCTAACTAGCTGATGATAAAAAGATTCTTGAGCCTGCTAAACAGTCCTTAGCCTACTTATTTCTCTTACTGGCTCACTATCAGGAATGGAGACCTACGGATAAGCAATCCCTTCCTGATAATATACGCCCTGGTGGTGGTATATGGTGCAAAACTGTAGCTTTTCTACACACATTTGACCCTGTTCAAGTGAGATATGCTGGCCTTGAATTCAACAGAATTGTTGAGTATGTGGCAAAGGCGGGTGAATTTTCATCACAGGTATGTTGGATGGAATGTTGCAGCCTCTTTATCTGTATTATTGACAAGGGGGAGAAAAGCCATGCGCAGTTGTTAAACCCATTCAGCAAGCCATACTTCGATTAGATCCCTCCTGTTCCACTTTCACATCTACTCATACAGTCTTTACACGACTATGTTTACTTGCACGATGCTATCTGCCCGCCATATGTATCCTGGACAGGGATGTTTACCACTTCCCAGCTGCTGTTGACAAGGTCTTCCTCAACCGATCTCAATTACTTCCATCTCAGCAGCATCCATCTAGCAATTCTTACATTACGCTATCTTCAGGATTGCCGGGGTCAATGAACTACAAAACACCTCTCGAATACTTTCTCTATGGCGCCATGATCTATATCGGCCTAAAGCGGTGGGGAAAAGCGCGACATTTCCTAGACATTGTTATTTCTACACCTACTAGTAGCTTTGCAAGCATGATCATGGTGGAAGCCTATAAAAAATGGATTCTCGTTAATCTTTTAGAGAAAGGCATGGTAAGATAATCTAAGCCCGTACCATTACACCTTGGAAATAACTAAATCAATACATCCCTTAGGTACCAGCCATGCCGCACACCGTCAACGGTTCGGTGGCAAAGGCATATAAGGCGCTGGCAAAGCCATACAGTGCTTTAGCCTTGGTTTTCAAAATAGGCCCCTTTTTAAGACTAAAGGCTGAAGTGAGTGCAGGGATAGAAATATGGCGTAGAGTAAGTTACTGTTAGGCATTTAGCGTATGGTGGCTTTTGAACTTCATCTCACTGGTGACCAGGATAATAACACGGGTCTTGTTTTCCAATTACTCGACTCTTTTTGTCGATTTTCTGTCCTTAAGCTTGAACGGTCGTTCGCAGCACTTTCTTTGCCAGATGTGGCGCGTCTATCCCTTAGTGATAGCGATGGTTGGCCTATGGAACTATTTGTGGCGGAGCTCCTCGCGACAAAGCGGTTGGATGCTCGCCTCTTCCAGAAATCACATCCTTCAACTCCAACTATTCTTCGTTTTGGCTATAACGACCACGCTATGAGAGGTGCCAACGAAGCCAGATTGTGGGATTGTTTGATGGAGCAAAAGGACCGTATGGACATTTTGTTGCGATGTGTACATGGAACCGATGTGAAGTTGGAACTAGGACGGGAGTACATCGAGGGTCTGAGAACATCCAAGTGGCGAAAGAACGGAGATGATAGCGAAGGTGGTATTCTGATGGGAGAAAATCACAGTGCGGTTGAATTTGAGGAAGATATCATGGCCGATTTACGGTAATGCTGAACACTATTGAGCATTGAGTAATAATAGCAACGAACTCGAAAATTCAACAGCATAGGGTTAGCTATAAAGGAGAAGCATTAAGGAGAGGTATTCCTTTAATCATGTAGATAATATATCGGCGGACAACTTTGACGGATAACCGGATTCCCCCAGACAAGTGGTAGTACCATTAACGTATGATTTTGATTAGCACTAACCACGAGATAAACGCATATTACTCTTATCCCTATGAAGCTGAAAACTCCAGATGTGATAAAACACCCCATCGTTACTGATTTCGGATAAGGGCGGGTAAGGTAGAAAGAAAAGAAAAGAGAGCCATCGAATTGATTTAACTACTTGCTTCACTTCCTGGACTGGGGGTAGGTCGAGATTCGACTCGGGGAACGGTAGACTCTGTGCCTGAGAGATTTGTCGGTGCGGCTTTAGGGTTTTTCGTATAGTAGTTGGATATGGCTGACTTAATTGCATCTTCTGCAAGCATAGAACAATGCACTGCGGAGTATTAGTATCATCAGAAGAAGTCTGGCGGGTCACTGGGCACACACGCTTTACTGGGGGTAAACATAGCTCCTTCGCTATCTCTGTATTGCGAATCTTCGCAGCTTCCTCCAAAGTCATGCCTCTCACGAGCTCCGTTAAGTAACTAGAACTGGCAATGGCACTTCCACAGCCGAAAGTCTTGAACTTTACATCGCTGATTGTATTGCTGTTTTTGTCAACGCGGATCTGAAGCTTCATTACATCTCCGCATGCAGGAGCCCCAACAAGCCCTGTACCAACATCCTGATCTGTTTTCGGCATTGATCCCACATTTCGAGGGTTGCTATAGTGGTCAAGCAGTGCTTTGAATGTTAGCCAGAGGAGTGTATTGAACTGGGAGATTGGGATGGAATAAGGCAGCTTATCTTTTTCGTGGTAGCTTCGGGAAATCTGTTGGGAAATGATGGGAGCAAAAGTCTTAGATGCTACAGTTGGTCGAATCGGGCGTCGCGAGAGCTGTCCAGCAGCCGCCCTAGAAACGGTCGTGATGGCTCTGCGAAACATTCCGGGGCGCTATGAGAGAGTAGGTCGGAACAGATACGGTGGCTCGGCAATCAAAAAGTCGGGTTTCGAGGTAGGTAATACCTAGTCACAAAATTCCGGATGATGATGGCTGTGATATGACTACTAAGAAGTTTCCAGTTTCGCCACTTTATGCCACACTTGCCCAGGGTTGGTAATGTCTTGTACAGTACTCCATACTCCGCCCTAGGTAACTAAATTACCATCTATGGCAAACATTAAGCTACTTTGCGCATTGCGTTTTTTCTTGGCAACCAGACCAATAGAAAAATGGGAAAGCAGCAGGAAATTGCGGCTCCTTTGTTATCCAGCCTGAGAAATAGGAGAAGATTTATTAATGAAAATTGGAAATTCAATAATGGCAGACTTGGGGTAGAGTCCTTTGCACACATTATTCCACAAGAATTGAATATGGACTCAAATTGCTGTTTCCTTGGCGAGACACCGTAACTCCGTATGAAAAACTTACCGCGGATTTGGGTCCTTGGGTTGGCTTTCGACACAGAAATGTCTTCATTATTCTATGGCCTATTCAGTGTAACAGCTAATAATCATCAGGAGAGAATGCAGATAGAAGTAAGAGAGAAAAAAAAAAAGAAAAAAAAAAAAAAAAAAGAAAGGAAAGAGAGGGTGTACGGGGTACATCCTGTCTGTCAGCCTTCCCTTCCCCCTACCCCCACGATGATTACCAACTTGCGGTAGCATATCTGATTAGGGCCGGAGTTTTCCCTTTCAACCTGCTCCTGGATCAAAGCTCGAAGGAAATCCCGAGCCATGGATCTCTGGATGTCTCGTTTCTCCCATATGCGCTGAGCCTGGAGTTGGAAACAGGTTGCCGTAGCCATCAGGGGAATAGAGGCGGACTATAGACCAGGACACTTGATCAGCCTCGCGGACCATTTGACGAAACTGCACTTCGCATTCAATCCATCTCCTCTCATCTGCCGCCGAGGACCCTTTCACTAAAGCCGGTGAGCGAACTCGAGGGACTTCACAGGATGCTGTATCTTCTTGGTCGTGGGAACGGTCGATGATGATGGATCCGCCAGGCGAGAGGCACTTGCTTCACACTGTATCTCTGCATGTGCATAGGCGTCGAGATCGTCAAAATCCCAAAGGGCCAGAATCTTGTTAAATCTTTCACACTTATCAGACGGGATGAATGGTACAGCGATTTGGCCACCCAGGCTAGCATGCTCAAGGTATCGGCTGGCATGTCCGAGAATGCGGGCACTGATATTAACCCCGACGGCGCGCCCGTTTGCCAGCAGCTTTCTTGCTGCTTTGCCACCCATACTGGCCCACAGCCAAGTACAGCTCGTTTCTCATCTGGTTTATATCTGCGATCTATATAAAGCGTTCAACATCGAGGACATGATACTGGTACGCTGCGTGATAATGCGATGCAGAATTGCCAAATGTTTCTTCAGTTTGTTGTGGCGTGAACCCGTATTGAAACTGCGGAACAGGAACCAGACTGCTGGTGGATATAAATCCTGACCAAGGGAGAGAATCGGCCGTGTAGGAAGGAACTTCATCGACTCCAAGACAGAAATATCAGACAAAGGACTTGAAAGTGAAGCCACCGCGTGAGAGAGAAACCTTGCCGCTGAGGACAAAAAAGGGTAGAGAAGAGGGAACACAAAGTAACTTGTTGAGAGACAGAACAGCCTGATACAGTGAATGATGTGAAACTCTTCTGCTAGGAAGGTTATCACCTTACCAGATATATTTGAGCTAGATATTCTATTTGAAGGGGATAACACTCGATCTCTCATAAACAGACAAGCAAAACACGGGACCAATCTCAGGCAAGACAATCATGGCGCTTGAGCGATTTATATCCAATAACCACTTGAGAACGAAGACTCTTTGCTGCATGGGAGCTGGAAGGAAAACTATGCTATCTCGAGCGGCGACGGCCTGCCTGTTGGTGAACTCATATGACTTAGACACCTGATTGTTCTTCACAGGTTGTACAAGTGCAGTGATTGGTTTCCTTTTGACCGGGTATCTTCCCCATCTCCTTCAGGTTCTCCCAAGTTTTATCAGATGCTCTTTTGAAATCATGATTGATCAGACACTCTCGCATTTTGGTTGATAACTCCTGGAGAAGTAGCGGGAAGTAGTCGGATTCCTCCAGCTGAAGTATAAGCTCTTTTTGTGTGATATAAACATCCCGCTTCTTTCACATATGAAACATCCTGGCTCAAGCTCATCTGGGGAGAATTCGCATATCCACACTTGTTGTGGCTATTGGTTTCGAAAGTAAAGGTAGAAACATGCTTGGAAGCTTCCAACTAGCGAACATTTGTTATCCTTATGCCACTGTAGGATATGTTCGGTGAGATCAAACGAGTTGAGCCGGCCAAGTACATCCTTACTAGAAAGGCCCCAGTCTGTTGTTTCAGCAGTTCTTTCTCTTGACATCCTTTTTTTGATATCAACAACAATAACCAACTTTGTGCAATCATTAGAGCCCCTGAGCCATCTTTTAGCATCTTCAAACGCCTTCCTTGTAGTCTCGCAAATCGCATATCGCATCTTCAACAGAAATTAGAGGAAACTGCTTTCCGATCTGACAGAGACTTTCATCAAGAGCATTCTCATTTCCATTATATTCACTGCTGAGGCGGACACCTAACAATATACAATAGATTGGCTGTAGTGCAAAAGCTTGATAAGAAATCAAAAATTGACCAAAATAGAACAAGAAAAGAAAGAAAAGAATGCTTGGTTAGGCTCACCTGCAGACCTGATACAAACAAATTTTCGATGATCCGGCGACCATTCATGAATGGCGTCCATTGCAGCTTCATGCAAAGGAATAGCTGTAGATTTGATTCTCTCTGCGCGTCGTCCTCAATCCCGCGCACCTCCAGGTCCTTGTTGCTCCATTTTTGCCAGTCCCACAAATCAACCCTGAACTTCTCAATTGAGAATCTTCCAGCCAATGTCCCTGTAGCTCTGCAACCTTACCCAGGTCTGGGTCACCAATCGGGTTGGTCTTTGCGGGGATTTGTCAATTCGCGCTCTTGTACTACACTCCATCTTGTTGTTGTCCGCCGTAAATTGAGTTTCACTCTTGGGTTGAAAAAGGTGCAATGGCCGGGGTCCTCAGCATTCATCAAGTCTTTGAGCACTTGGCGTGGCGTGGGGCTTTGTAACTCGGAAAGGTTGTCGCTTGGTTGATGGAGCAGGCTTGCATCTAGCAGACGTTGCGAGCTGGTCGCGGTGTCGCCATTATACTTGAAGGTTCTGTTCCAAGACAAAGACGCGGAGTACAGCCTTCTTTCCCCCAAACAGCTGCCATTTTCCTTCGAGCTGGTTGCAAGAGCCTGAGCTATGCTGTATTCGCCTAGATACGAAATCTTTAGTCATTTCTCCCACAAAACTGCCAATTACTGCAGTCTATTAAGAATTTCCAAGCTAAAAGGGCCACCTCTTCCTCCTCCTCTCCTCCGCCGGCTGCTCTCCTCTTTGGTCAATCTCGCCATCCTAGGCCATTTTAGCTTTCAGGAAACCCCAAAGAAAGAGCCAGACAAAGGTAGAGTTCTTTGCATAATTAACAAGAAAGCCATGGATGAAAGCTCTGCTCTATTCAGTTTGACATAAAGAGAGGAAGTAAAAAGGAAATAGAAGAGAAAAAGAAAAATCGGTAGGTCAGGAAAGGTGCTTTTGCTAGCCAATAACATCTAGATTCTTCAGTGCATTCAAAGCGTAGGGATCATCTCCGTATAGCTTAGGATTAGATTTCTTCCATTGTCTACCACCTGGGAATATACTCCATTGTAACTGATAGAGAGTGACCAGAGAGGAGGAGAAGATGATGATGGCAGAGAGGTCGCAGAAATAGCATCACAATCTCTGCAAGATCGTAGCTCCTCTGCGAGATTGCAGTACTTATTCATAGCCATGATCATGCAGCATGTCATGTCGAGAGGAAAGCAAGTTAGACATTTCTGAATAGTAACCTGGAAGGCCCTAACTTATCAATGAACACGGGCAGAGTCCGAGTCGAACCACGACCTGATTTTGTTCGTGCACCGGCCCAGCCAGGATGGAGGATCTCAATATCGGCAAGCCCACATCACTCACTGGTGGGAAGGTCGGCCAAACATGCGGATCGAGCTTATGGAGAAGACCTTTGCGCGTTGCATTGCTGAACTCCGACTCTTCTAGACCACCACTACCAAGGGGGATTGGATTGGGATCTCTCAGTCTTAAATTGAGATGGGTTCAGGGCCGTCGGAAAATTCCTTCCCTTCCCGGTCCCAACGGTCAGTCTAAAATATTAAGTAGAGATATATGTTAACAGATTTAAAATGCTAAGATGCTGAAATTGAAAAAAACAAGACGAAAAAGATGAAGTACAGAGTACTCCGTACAGAGTATGAAATTTACCAATTTGGTTGGGTTAGTTACATTAAATTACACAAAGCCTTACAAATACAGAGTATGGAGTACTCCGTACTCCGTAGTTACAAGAGCTCTTGTCCACAATCTGTATTCCGTACCCCGTGCTCCGTTCTTGCTTTCAATTCTCAACTAGCGTACGAGTCATAAGTCAGATCAAAGAAGATCCAACCCTAGAGACTAGCTACATAGAGACTAGCGCCTTGCCATCTGCAAGCTTCCTATGGGTGGAACTACTCCGTGCTCCCTAACACACAAAATAACTACTTTGTCGAACCCTTTCTTTTCTTTCTGCTCTCTCACCTTTGACTTTGTACTTTTCTACTTTGTATTTTCTTTTCCCTGGAATGTCACCTGCTGTCTATAAAGAGATGATGGCCTATCACCTCCACCATAATCATGTAGCGATTTCCCTGAAGTAGATGTACGGAGGAACGTGTACAGCATAAACAGCTGTGTTTCCCCTTATCCCATCTTTAGTTTATCCCTAAAGGTAGGTCGGCTACGGATTTGGGCGATTAGAAGTGCTTCCACCACGATATGCAGGGTCCGAGTAGAACGTTATGTCGTTCCCGGCCATAGATCACATATGTGTCGTTGGAACCTTCGCTACAGAGTTGAGTGGCAGCGACTCCGTACGTACCCACAGCCTTCGAGTCGCCGAGGCTGGATTTCCTTGGCTGCCAAGGCACAATTTTAATGAGTCTGACTTTTTCGAGAGTTCAGCGAGTCATTCGAGTGGGTAGGATTCAATTCCGACAATATCGTCCAGTCGTCTATTCCGTACTCTCGCATAATACCGACTTTTGCACAATGTCCTTAACAGAGTCCTCTCCATCGGAAATAGCCAAACTTGCCTCGAGCGTTTCAAGGCAGTTGGGAGCTCTTCCAGTTGTGTCTCGCAATGACGCTTTAACTGCAATACACACGGCTCTCTACCAAAATAAGGATGCTATTTTACAGGCGAACGCTCGCGATATTGAGGTTGCGACAAAGGCTGTGAATGAAGGGACGCTCAGTCAAAGCATCCTCAAACGGCTAGATTTGAGCCGTCCAGGGAAATATGATGACATGCTACAAGGGATCCTTGATGTTCGGAGTCTTGAGGACCCATGTAAGTTTCTTTTTATCCGTATTTGTCAATGCGACAGTCTCCACTGAGACGCCAGGCTGACTTTTTTTTTTGTAATTATTACTATATAAAGTGGGAAACGTCTCTTTAAGAACCTTGCTCGATGATGGCTTGGTCCTCGAAAGAGTAAGCTGTCCAATCGGCGTCCTGCTGATTATTTTTGAAGCTCGGCCGGAAGTCATAGCCAATATCACCGCGCTGGCGATCAAGTCTGGAAATGCTGCGATACTTAAAGGTACGTGTTTTGGATCATATTGGGAGTTTCTTTCTGACCTCGTTATAGGAGGGAAGGAATCTATTGAATCGTTCCGAGAAATAGCGCGCATTGTGTCAAAAGCACTTTTGTCTACAGATGTTCCCAACACAGCCATCCAGCTCGTCGAATCGAGGGATGTGATTCTTCCCCTGCTGGCTCAGGATAAATGCATCGACCTCGTAATCCCTAGAGGATCGAATGAGCTGGTCCGATTTATAAAAGCCAATACCAAAATTCCGGTGCTTGGACATGCGGATGGTCTCTGTTCAATCTATCTTCGTTCCGATGCAGATATTACAATGGCGAAAAAGATTATCCTCGACGCAAAGTTGAATTACCCTGCGGCTTGCAATGCAGTGGAGACTCTCCTCGTTGATGAAGACGCATTATGCACACTATTGCCTTCCGTCGCGGAAGCATTGCTCCAAAATGGCGTTTCGTTGCGCTGTGACAGGAAATCGAAGTCCGCACTTGTAGCATCATTGTCACCAAGCCAAGCAGCCCTTCTACAAGATTCAATGGAATCAGATTATGATACTGAATTTCTGGATCTAATCTTGGCTATAAAAACCGTGTCTGCCTCGCCGTCCTTATCTTCCCTTGATGCAGCAATGGCACATATCAACGCACATTCGTCCAAACATACCGACGTTATCATAACGTCGTCAAAAGAAACGGCAGAACAATTCTTGATCGGCATCGACAGTGCAGGAGTATACTGGAATACCAGCTCCAGACTGGCCGATGGGATGAGATATGGATTTGGCACAGAAGTTGGCATAAGCACCAACAAAATCCATTCAAGAGGACCAGTGGGTTTGGAAGGTTTAACAATTTACAAATATTTGATTAGAGGCAACGGCCATACCGCAGGAGAGTTTCAAGGCGAAGCCGGAAAGCAATGGAAGCACCAACAACTGCCCCTCGGCGACAGATAGTATAGCCTGCACATAGGAAATAAATGAGGCATCGATGGATAGTTTGCTCTTGACCCCATCAATCCATACTATCAGCTTCTCCATACATCATGATTGAATCATTTCGGGAAACAAATGATCGACATGCTCCTCGCCAATACAAGATATGTTCCCTATGCGTAGTATCCTATAGCTAAAATAGGTTTGAAATTAGGAAACTCGTTTCGATTGACTTTGGGATCCAGCTAGCTAGGATACCACCGGCGGATGACCATCTCACACAATGAGAAGATTTAAACTTTGAAGCCACGCGATCTTCTCCGTCCCCGAGCTCTCTCAAACTTCCGGCCCTTGCTGGCAACTTTTGGTTTCTATAATATAGTCAGCTGTTGGTATAAAAATGACATTGAAAAGCGACATGGCTAACCTTCCCACTGTGTGGACCAAATCCGAAGTGCTTGACAGCCTCTCTGGCATTTTTCTTTCCCCTAAGAAGAATAGTGTTTGCACCAGTTGGAGCTCTGAGCGCGAGTTGATCCAAGGTAAGGATTTCACCACCAGCTTTCTCAATTCTAGCTCTGGCAGTGGCGGTAACTCGAAGTGCAGCGATCGACATTTTTGGAACAACAAGTAGACGCTCATCATCAGTGATGGTCCCAACGACAACGATGGTCTTGTTGCTAATAGACTCTTCGGAATTGTCCTTCTTTACAATAGAGACCAAGCGCGAGAGAGACATTGGAGGACGGTTAATACGGGACATGAAGAGGCGTCGCAAAACGACTTTGTTGAAGTTAGAATCAGTGCGGCCTACGGTGATGACATCGTTGTTAGCGGCGCCAAATTGGTTATGCAGAACTTGCAGGTGCATACGGGCAAGGAAGCGATAGAGCTTCACCAAGAGCTGAAGGTAGACATTGTCGCTCTTGGGCGCCTTCCGGTGGGTGCTGCGGACATGGTGACGGTCCAAATCGATACCTGATGAGATCAATAATTGTCAGCGTACAGTTACTCTAGTAGTCGAAAATCGCACCAAGCAAATATCCTATTATTTGAAAGAACAACACAACCTACCCATGGCTGCTATCGGAAACGGACTTTTCACTCCTAGGCAGTTTCTCACACCACCGTGGAATCGAGACTGACTCCTCGTGGTTTTTGTCGAAGAGATTTTGATGTGGAGTGTGGGAGCGAAGCCCTACGCTAGTCTTATTATGGAATGACGCATGCTTACCTAAGGCATTTAGCCAAGGCCAAGCTTGCTTTGTCACCGTCTAGAGCACGTTGGCAAGTGACGGTGTAATACGGAGTACAAAGGAAAGGATTCGATATGGTATTGGATGGGTGTACTTTACACGTAACTTTCATGATAGCCTCTCCTGGTTGGATTCCAGGAAAGGAAGCAGTCAACAATTGCTTAAGGTAAAAAGTCTTGTTCACCTCTTTTCCTCAGGTCACATCGGTCTGGCTGTCTGTGAGGACCTTCGATGCCATGTCGCAAAAGCATCAAATTAACTAAAGAAGGATGCTGTAATGTTCTCTTTGACCGGAGATCTCTGCAATGCACTGGCCCAAGAGCTTTAAACATTCACCATGCCAGGCACCCACAATTCACCAATACGGTTAACTTCAGCAATGAAATGATGATTTTTGATTCCTATGTTACTGGTTGCAGGCTCTCCACAATCAGTATCATTTCTGTCTGGATCATAAAATGGATTTTGCAACAACTTCATATATGCTGTCTGTAATGCGCGAAAAGCCTGGACCATAGTTAGATCTTAATCCATTCATGCCTGCGTTCACAGTCTTACCGGCTTCAAATCAGACTCTCGAAGGCCCGCAAGCGGTGCGAACTTTCCAGGGACAGCCACTCTCCCCTCTAAATCAACAATAATCAAAAATTTTACGCCGGTGTTTGTCAACCAGCCATAAACTGAAAATCTCTCATCCAAGGCATGTAGTAACCCAAAATCTTGATCGACAGAGGTGTCATGTTGGCGCAATTCAAGAACATCAAGAGATGAATTGAAGGCTAGAGAAAACTCAACCTGTGCGCTTTCATGAGGTGGAAACACCGAAATATGGAGGAGATTATCCTATGAAGCCATAAGCATCTCGCCCATATGACAGAAATAAGAGTATGACATGGGTTTACCGATTTGCCAATGATACCAATGGAGGCTATTGATGGAGTTCCCATTTTCTCTGGGTGGATTCAAGTCAGGGTCAATGCTGCAATAACTTGCATACAGGTAATCCACCGAACACTTTGCAAACTTGTTGATGTTGCAGCAAATACAAAAACACAGAGTGATAACCTGTTAACAAAGTATTAAAGATTTCACTACTTGGTACTCCATACACTGTATATTTTTATGTTTTACAAGACAAACTCTGGAGTAGGCTTGCTGACTGCAGAGAACCGCTAGTTAATATTTGTCACCATAACTAGCTCTGGTGGACCCAAAAGGACAAAAGGCTATTGTGTATGTACTCCATACCCTGTACTCTGTTCTCTCGACTCTGCTTTTGAATGCGAGTAGGAATTTTGTGGAGTTGTCAGCATCTCTCCATCTTCATAAATCCCAAGTTGAAAGCCAATATTACCACACATAGCGGTGTGCAGAGTACGTTTGTATTCCTAGGCTTTGCTACCTAAATTAAAATTTGTATCATGCCAATCATTTTTTGTCGGTTGGATCCCCTTGGTAGCAGAAGTAACGTATGGATTAACAGATAAGCAATGAAGTATCTGTTGGTTTCCTCGGACTGTACTCTGTGAGAGGAAGTTGGTTCCATGCTGTGCTTTGCATTTTGGCTAAAAGTACTCTGTATGGAAGATTCAAAGAGTAACTCCAGAGAACAAAGTACGTAGTACCCACTGACTCGACATCCATCCAGAGCTGTCTAAAAGAGGTGATGCAGGCCAGCTAAGGTCGGCTCTAGAGAGAAATGTGCAGTACGCATGGGTATGACAATTTTCAGCCCGAAAACAATTAAATCCTACGACTAGATGAAACAGAGCAAAAACACATAGATAAGAAGACAAACCGCCATTGATGATTCACACCCAAAGAATGACAGTTAGGACGGACAACAAGCATCGACGACGATAGGGCCGCGGGCGAGGGATAAAGACGGATATTTCGCGAGAAACCCGTCGGAAATATCACTATTTCAATAAATGTATACCACCGAATGGGAGAAGACCTACACTACCGAGCTCTTTGGCTTGGAAGAAATATGCCACGTGTAATAACCGGCAAGCAAACATAAAAACAAACGCAGGAAAGGAGAATGAGACAGACTGCTCGAAGCGAATAGGGAAAGAAACTGGGGCATGACCTTTATTGGATACGACGGTAATATTTCAATATCCTTCCACGAATGTGCGCCGAGGATGGTTGAATCATCGTTCAAAGTCGGTGATTGGGTTAGAGACGCGTGCACAGGAGTAATGACCCTCGGTAGGAACTAGGGCACAACTACCGTTTAACCGGCTTGACCTACTCAGCAGTATCTAGCTCGTCATGAGCAGGGGTGGGAGAATCCAAGGGAACTGTCCGCAGCTTAGTGAGATAGTAATTTAAAAAGCTATCATTCTGTGAAGAGATTTACCTTTCCTGTCATCACCATTTGTCCCATTCTCGCGATCTTCATCTCGCCTATCGCGATCGTCTCTGAGGTCCCGATCGCGCTCACGATCACGCTCGCGGTCCCGATCACGCTCACGATCACGGTCATCGGGGCTCCGAGAGCGATCGCGATCTCTGCGGTCGTAATCGCGATCACGACGATCTTCCTTGCGGGGAGAATAGTCACCTCTGCCACGGCGAGGAGAAGGCGAGCGCACTCGACGGGGTGGAGTGCGATCACGGCGTCGATCGCGACCGGAATCAAAACGCCACGACGCAGAAGGCGGTGTACGAGCCCACTAGACTGAGATAAGCCACTGGGTGATCAAATGGGTAAGAAAGCCTAGAGCTCACCTCGATCTTCAAAACATCGTCCCGACCAATACGTTTGTTGTGCATTTCGTGATAAGCATCGTCTGCATCGCGTCGGCTCTCATACTCAACAAACGCAAAGCTATGTACAATATTAGCATGTCTGGGGCGGCCACACTCATAGTTCAGTGTACTTACAGACGACTAGCAGCAGTCCGAGGAGCCGGAATATCGCACCGAACAAGGCGGCCATATCTTGAGAATGTCGTCAGTATATATTACGTACACATTATGTTGCAGGTGGCCAGGGTCAGGGTTCCAAGCTGTAAGACACGAGCGAGTCAAATAATACGTGAAATATGCAGGTGGGAGGCTGCTGTCAGATAGAAGCATTCATAAGAGGGGATGCAGGCGACCAGGACGTCGGCAACGACGTGCGCTCGATAGGTGAAGGGAAGGAGAAAATTGTATCGAAAGATCACGTTTCGAGAGAAGACGGAAGTGAGAGGATCGTTCGTGGGTTATCGATGGAGGAGAGCATCCACGAATGGGACGTACCGTTCGAATTCGTAGGCAAGTTCTCGTGCACGAGTTCCGTGGCCAAAGCCGGTGACATAGAGAGTGGTACCACTGCGAGACATGATGTAGAGATTCTAAGAGTGATAGAGGCAAAGAGGAGAAGATGCTATATGAGCTGGCACACAACCAGACTAATGGCCAGAGTAAAATCTAAGAAACTCAATTCGACACAATCCACAAATACAGCCAAAGCAGATAAGAGAATGATGGGTTAAGATGATGGCCGTTTGGTGATGGACGGTTGTTATGATGGTTAAGGAAGAAAAAAAAAGCCTTTTCCAAACAAGTCATTCTTGCTTATATAAGCGAGGCTGAAAGGCTTGGTTTGCTTAGATAATTAGCACCCGGTCAGCGGTTCACTCTCAGTTGCAGCAGTGGCATCGGGAAAAAAACGCAGGAAGGAAGAGTGCCAATCTTGCTCCTCTAACACCAGGGGGGTATGGGCATTGTCAATTTGGTTGTGCTGAACTCTCAATTCTATCCTAGAACAATCCTCCTTCTAACCTTATCAGTGAATACTACCTCTCTCTCTCTTTTGTGTTTCTGTTCTGCGTCACATCCGACTGCAACACCGAATCTCTGATTATTAGCATTATTGCTCTGCTCTCAACTAACTATTTAACGTCCATGCTGATTTGTATGTACTGGCAATTTTAGACCAAATTTACTGTGCTGCTTACCATTGTCCACGGCTAGTTTAGTGATGCAGAGATCAAATTGCTCCAACGGCTTCCCCCAGATCAAACCACCCTTCTCACAACAATCCCTACACAGATAGCGGGTTGCTTTCGTATACTTCAACTGACTACCACCTGATGGTTAAGGTGATTGTTTTCCCTATTTGACTATTGTCATTCGCTGATATCCTGCTTTCTGTGATAGGCCTCGCAAATCCTTTGGCTCGCCTGCGATGAGTCTTGACGGTAAAGAGGGCTCCCCGCCCGACCGTTCTACAAAGCAATCAAGTGGTACCTTGTCAAGTCTACCACCACAGGTAGGCCATCTGTTCCTTCGGCGATTCTTCTTCAAAACGCATTTGTTAAATTCGCTACTAGGTAGCGGTCCAGACCAACCCTACTTCGTGGTATGCGGATACAAGAAATCTCCTCTCGGACCCCGTGGTTGCAGCGTTCATTGCTGGTGGAGTGGCTGGCGCAGTGTCCCGAACAATTGTTTCACCCCTCGAACGGTTAAAAATTCTCCTCCAGGTTCAGAATGCCGGTAGAAACGACTATAAATTGTCCATATCAAAAGCTCTAATCAAGATGTGGAAGGAAGAAGGATGGAGAGGGTTTATGCGCGGGAATGGGACAAACTGTATTCGAATCGTACCTTACTCGGCGGTACAGTTTGGAAGCTATAGCATCTACAAAAAGGTGGGGTGGAGTTCTACAACTATCTATATTGAATGTCCTCTGATGTGCTTCCGTCTTAGTTTGCGGAACCATATCCTGGAGGTGAAATGACCCCTTTCAGTCGACTGGTATGCGGGGGTCTCGCGGGAATTACTTCCGTCAGTGTCACTTATCCTTTGGACATTGTTCGAACCCGGCTATCCATTCAATCTGCGTCATTTTCCGAACTTAAACATGATCCGGGTCGAAAACTTCCTGGCATGTTCCAAACCATGCGCGTCATGTACCGGACGGAAGGAGGTATAATTGCGCTTTATCGAGGGATAGTTCCAACTGTTGCTGGAGTGGCACCCTATGTACGTTTTCCTTTTGATTCAGCCAAAGCAATTGATCTTCCGCTGATTTTGCTCTTGGATAGGTCGGTTTGAACTTTATGACTTACGAGTCAGTCCGGAAGTACTTGACGCCTGAAGGGGATGCCAATCCAAGTCCGTACCGGAAGTTGTTGGCGGGTGCTATCTCCGGTGCAGTGGCACAGACGTGTACATATCCGTTGTAAGTTGGGTATGCTCCGCATTTATGTAGAGAACCTCATTGTTAATGCGACTTGAAAACAGTGACGTTCTTCGGCGACGCTTCCAAATCAATACCATGTCGGGCCTGGGCTACAGATACACGTCAATTTGGGACGCTATCAGGGTTATTGTAACCCAGGAAGGTATTAGAGGACTGTATAAGGGAATCGTTCCAAATTTATTGAAAGTGGCTCCAAGCATGGCCAGTAGCTGGCTCAGCTTTGAATTGACTCGCGACCTTTTCATCAGCCTTGGCGATAAAAGTGCTTGATTTGCTTAATTTTCATGAAAGTGCTGCTTCGGGTTCAAGGCCGCCACGATACAACACATATTCATGGACTATACCCGGCCATTTGGTTTCGAGAAAAAAGATTCAGACATAGAATTTAGATGTACTATGCACAAAGGAATTTTGCTGCGGCGGATTTGGAAGCTCTTTTAGATGGGGATCAGGCCCCCTCTGAAGCCCACTGTACCATTGGGGGTTATATTGTGTATTCTAAGCAGTACAGTTATTCACAAAATCTGCCCCTGAAATCAGCAGATATTGATAGTATTAGCATCTCTGGTGGATCAAAGATTCTGGAGTAATATAAACATTTGAAAACTCATACTTTCATTTGGAGCCCGTCACTGCACAATCACTTTCAGCGCTTGCAGCAGGACAGCACAGACAAAGCCTCTTGCGACAGATTCTATTTGAAGACTATCAAAAATCCGCCCAAGAGCCTCACTTGTTGCATTGCTGCCCATGCAACTAATCAGTGCAGAGGGCATGCCGTTTTCAATCAATAAACTTCGAGCCCTTTCCTGCATTTTCTTCCGATCCTTCTCAGTTAGTGTGAGCGGGGTGGCAGGTTCACCATTATTTTGTGCAGAAAAACATGATTCGCGCAACATATTGATGTAGTCTGCCAAAGTTTCATGCGTTGTATTGTCCTTTATGATCGAATCCTGGATAAGCAGCCTAATAGCTTCGAGGTTTGGGTTCCCTGGGCGGAGAAGAAAGGCTTTGGCTGCATGTAACAAACGCTTTCGAAATTTCCAGGCTGAAGATAGACCATAAATCTCATTAACAACCGCAAACAACAATTCCACGACCATGATAGCCTCCTCTTCTGAAAGAGCTGCATGCGGATTGGATTTGGAGTCGACAGCCTTGCCTTCCCGATGTATCTCGGCGGGTTCGCAGGTTTTGGGATTAAGAGTTTCGTTCCCTTGTGCGCTTTGGATTGTCGTTATGGTGGTACTTTGCGTTTCACCCCGATGAGGTACAATTCTCTCTTGTCTCGTAAATGATTCACAAGACAAATGCAGTGTTGAATCATTTGGGAAAGCAACTCCATGGTCTGAAATAGGCTCAATTTCCCCACTTTTCCAAGGACCAGCACTGACTGACTGAGTGAAAGAGGAGGAATACGTTGTGGGGGGTTCGTCTGATACCTTAGCTAACTGTGAATGAGACATAACAAGCCTATCTCCGTGATCTTCCAGCTCAGGTCGGCTGGAGCGATCCCAATGAGATTCAGTGATTGCGGACTTGGCATGGTCTGCTATCGTTTCCTCGAATTCTGGCCGACTTCGAGATGTTGGGCTTTCGGCCCGTCTTCTCTTCGCCCCGGAGGCTGTAGAACCAAAAAAGCCGGATACACCTCCCAGCACCGCTTTCCCCCCTTCAGCGACCCCCTTAGGGGCAGTACTTATAACTCCCAAAACCCCCTTGCCCATGTTTTCCAGTACTGCAGGATTGCGGAAAACAGAACCAATCCTCGTCGGAACGGAAATGGATGGAAAACCAGCCCCCAACCCTTTCTCGAAAAACCTTTTCAAACCTTCAGATTCAGCAAGGGCTTCATGATGTAACGCGTCTTGTAAGTAATTTTCAAGGAGTCCACGCAAGTCCTCCGCATTGCGATTTTTCCAATCCGGCAGATTAGGATGTCGCATTGAAAATTGAGTGACGCCGGAAACTACCGATATGCGCCGTAAAGTCTCATGAAGCGATTCAAAGTCGGTGTATTGCCTTGCAATCATCCAGCCAGAGAGATGAGAGCATTTGGGCTCGACTTGTACTAGATATTCGGTGGTAGGCTTGGAACGCATGATTCCATCATCGTGTGTAGCAAAGTCCTCAAGAATTGATATCGACGCATGAAGTAATTTTGCTGCGGACGGTGTGGCAGCCAGTGCTTCGGCTGAGGGAGTATGACCTCTATTTTGGATGAGAGGAGAGGTTCCATTGGAAGCTTTTGAAATGTGACAGCCATCCATAGAGCCCGGAGACACGGAGGCACCTTCTATTGTAGTGAAAGTAGGCAGGCTGATGATCCCAGAACTTACCCCTTCACCACTATCCAATGTAGCAGAAGTTGCCTGGCAAAGAGCCTCGCTATGATTTCCCATCTTTTCATGTTGGACTACCGTGTTTTCAGGACTCACCATGCCATTAATACTTTGGTTTCTGCAATGTGCCTTTCCGCTTTCATCTGTACTCGGAACCCCCATTGGATCAGATCCGGTCAACACCGTTGTGGCCAAATTATGACGGGTCTTGGGGTTTGGTGACTCTCGATCGGTTATTATTGAATCTGGGTCGCCGTGCGCCGGTGAAATGTCTGTGGGTCCAGGGTTCAGTTGCGTGTCACTAACTTTGTCCAGGGCATCCAATCCAGCATCTATCGCATTGATAAATTCGGGCTCGCCTCCTTCAAGTAGATGAATGATCCAGCCGTTTATATAATCCGGTGCCGAACACGTTTTGATAATGGATTCGAATATCACTCCCGTGACTATTTCGCGGAGAAAAATTTGTACCGGCGCACAGTCGTAGGCAGTCGAATCAAGGAAGTTTTTCAGCAGTTCACTAGCCATAACTCTCAGCCGTTTTCGCTGTTCTTCAATGGAGACAATATTTGCTAGACCACTCTCCGGGAACTCCTCTAGGTATATATTTATAGCATCGGCTACAGAGGTAGCATTTGCATTTGCGGGGCCAAGAGCAATGGATATCTCGCTCAAAAACACAATCATGATCGAGGAAGAATTCATAACGAATTGAAGAAAAAGTTCCGCAGGCCTCTTGCGTGAAAGGTGGACAGACACAGAATGGATAAAGCTGACCAGAGACTCGCGACATGCGCGCGGAAAATTTGTTTCAGAAGGCAAAATTGGGTCATACCACCACCTGCAGGGTCTTCAGTCTCATGGTGCGGATTTATGTGTGATCAAGCAAGCTCACCGGATATAGTCTTTGATTACAGCATTCACGACCGCTTCCAAAGCTGCGGCTGGGGCAGGATGCAATGTGGAAAGATCGGGCTCACCATTCTGTATCTTAGCAACAGATGGATGCTCAGCCGGAGTCGATTCCATTGATATTACGTCCGATCGCATCAGCCGTTCGGCAAGTTCGATGCCCAGCTCCCGGCGCCTTCGAAGCGCCTCATTGGCCTTGTTCTCGCCAGGGCTATCGTTCCATTCCTCCCACCAAGCATGTAATATTGCGCCGCCAACAGCACCAATGAAAAGCAACGCCAATCGCCCAAACACAACATACAAGCAAGCAAATAAGCCTCCAGTAATGGCAACAAAAGAGCTTGAATTGCAACGTGAGAAGAGAGAGAGAATATGGTTGGTGAGTGTGGGAGGTTGTGCCTCTGTTTTCAAACTTTGCTGCGATCCATGTACTGTTGCTTTCAAAGGGGCATCCTGGCCCTCAATGGGTGCCATGGCACATGAGATCTCAAGTACAAATATTCATTGAGCCCGCAATGGAGATAGGAAGAATAGAGAATTTCATATGTTGGAACACACAACCAGCACCTGGTGTTTGGTTGGATGGGATTTGCGCGGAAAGAAGCACAGAGGAATCCTTCTGTAGAGAAGAGAACCACCACATCCAAGCTATGAGGACTTAATTGAAGAAAACATTAACACCAGACATTGTTTTGAATACAGAATTGAAGGGTTAAATAAAGTAAAATAGACCTGGAAGGGTCTTCCAAAGTATGTAAATCGAGTCAGAGTCGAGAATGCCTATGGAGGTTTCATTTCTTGGTCCAAAAGGGTAAGTTAGTCCGAGCGGAGGAACTCTCTGGGCAGTGCGTTAGGTAACTAGCCTTCCAGGTACTCCGTAATTAACTAATTAAGTACACCAAGGAGTATAGCTTCAAACCGATTCCCAGGCCTGGACTCAGTATGGAGTAGCCCGGGCCTTCCTTTCTATCAAGCCTGCACGGGGAGAACCCAGTGATCTCCTCTACCTTTACACACTTGATCTCCTCTGCACAACCCCATCCCTTGTTCAACCCGGCAATGCAATCCCGCATTCGTTTGGACTGTTTGCTTCCTCACCTCCAGACAAGGATGGACTCAATTCAGCGGAGCCTGCTGCCTCTTAACTACGAATATACTTGAGTCTACTCCGTACAGACGATCCACTATCCGCCTAGCAGCCCTCCTGCCCACAGGCCAGTGAATTATAACTGCATACACCACCAGTAGATACCACACCAAAAAGTTACCTTTAAATTGGAAGTGCTCCAGTGCTCTTAGCTGGTCGCAAAGGAGTTGAAGGATAGTTCTCAGGGATGCGAGGAAGCAGCTGAGGTTGAAACTCGCTTTGCTCTAGAGAAGATACATAGATGTAGATCGTAACAAATGCGGGTACTGGAGGCGGAATATACAGAGATGGCGATCGCAAGATTAAGGCACCATTTCCGTGTGTGTGTGAGGCTGGCTGAGCCTGGCCCAGCATGATTGTTCCCAGGGCGCCTTGAATGGTGTAGCAAGTGTTCAGCAGGCGTAGTTGTGTGATTGCAGAATCTGTTAATATAGGGTCACTGGTTATATGGTACTGCTAAATCAGCTCTGTTGTCACAACCTACCAAGATCATCAGGACTCGAGTAGTGCTCCCAGCACTCTCAATGAAAAAAGAAAAGAAAAAAAAAAAAAAAAAAAAAAAAAAAAGGCCAATTTTGACAATGTTCTAGATTCAACCCTAGGGTCCAGTGTCACTATTCTTGGTATGATTATTGACCACATTTTAAGGTTCATATTCTTCATAGAGCTCTTCAGGGTGTGACGGATCCAGGTTTCAACTGGGAGCTGCATTTCATACATAATTCCACACCAGCCTGCTAATGGTTTTGTTCTTGTGTTGTAGGAAGAGAGCGGGCTATCGGAAAGGGTTCCATGTCATCATAGATGAGGAAGGAGCTAGGACAGAGTTAATGAGGTCAGGGACGGAATCCGTGAATCATAGACTGCAAAGAACATCGCCTTATCCACTTCAACAACTTTGCTAATATCCTTTATGGAACCGACCCGAATGAAAAATATGTACGCCGCAACATCTGCATTTGAATCGGTTAATGGGATGGCTGGCGTCACACCACAAACCCCTGCTACAGCCTACGGCGTCCAGAATGCAAGCGCGATATATCTCCATATTCACGAAACCTCAGCCAAGAGAATACAGACCCTTGATTATCTACGAAAGGCGTTAGTATTTATCTCGTTCTTATAACAGTGAACGCAAACTAATAGGAAAGCTTTGTAGCCATGAAGGGCGAGTTTATTGGTTTAACACTATCCATTTTACCCGGGCTGATGTTTCCCGACTCCCATATTTTGAGAAGCGAAAGCTTGCCCGTCGAGCGATCAATTATCTGCTGCTAGGGTTGTCCGTACCTCCAATCCTAGATGTCAGCTCGAACCCGTTCGAATATCTCCGATCATTTAACGCGCTCCTTATTGAATTCGAGGCATTCCAGCAAATTCACCCGGCCGATGGCGGTTCTGCATCGACTCTCGCGCGGGCGCGAATTCCACAAATGTTCAAGCGATCAACTCACACTGGCACCAAAGCTCGGCGAGCAAGCTCAGCGACCGAAATAGGACTGCCCATGCAATCAAGCGATCAGTCAGAGCTCAAAGCAATGACGGGGAATATCGCGTCTGCCACAAATGCTGCCTCCGCAGTGGCCACCTTTCCATCCATTTCCGAATCTTCAGATCTACTTCCGGGGGAAGAATATACTTATCTCTTGACCCCCACACTACCCTTCGACCCGGACTTTTTCGAGACATATGCGACATTATGCGACGTCCTCATTGACTGCTATAGTAGATTGATGAGTTTAGTGTCGAGCCCTTCGCTTTGCACCGGTGCATTGGGAGAAATGTTTGCGAAGGCAGATTCACGGTTACGGAAAGTGATAATGTCAAGTGTTGTGCGTGAATTCGAAGATGCAAGCCGTAGTAGTGTCAAGGGTGAAGTTGCAGGAGTTAGTCGAGTGGTCCTAGGGGGACTCTTAGGCTAGATTAGCAGACGGGTGCAAGCCCAATTTTGGAGAATATGCCTAGTTAAAAATGGGGGAGCAATATCATTCGCCTCAACCTACAGGAGTCAATTCCGGACAAAAACCGGTAGCATACCGGTAACTAATGCATATGGCAGCCGCAAAGTTTCAATTATTCTAATTTGAGGGACACGGGAAAGGACAGAGGAAGGTTCCATGAATGGCGAATTGTGTCTTCTCTTTAAATATAGACCTAGCATACTCCGTAATGATACAATATATACTCCATAAGATATAAACAATGCGATGCTGTCATGTCACGTTCAATTACCATGCCACCAAAAACGCCGAGACCAGCCACTTGCGCCATTGTGACTGTACATAAATCGAAAAAGGAAGATCTAAACCCCTCAAACTCCGAACTTTTCTTTTTTTTTTTCGCTGCGAGGGAAAGTATGATAGCAAGGATCGCTTGACGAGGAAGCAGTCTGAGAGGTGGTAATGAGGATTGGTCATTGGGGCACCTGCTGCAACGCCTCCATCTCTTTCTGCTCTCTAAACACCCTCCGACTCATTTCAAGGACAGCCTCAAACCCTTCCCGCCCCTTCTTTGCGTTCTGGCTAAATGTTTCCACGCTAAGTTCCTCGATTTTGTTCTTTAATTTTTGCCATCCACCACAGAGAGCGGTTATCTGTGCGTCTTGTCTAAAGTCCGTCCTCGATGCCGGCATTGATTGAGATGGTTGATAGATGACAGTTTCGCGGACGCTAAGAACGTTTGACCAGGTTAAGTTTGTGGAACACATAGTGACTTTCTTCGAAGACGGGTCGACATAGGAGACTTCGTAGACATGCGATGTCGAAGAACCTCCAAAAAGGTTAAGGATCCATTGCGGAGCAGACTGGTTGCATGTGATTAAACGCTCCGTTCGTAACTATGCGCACGTGTGTTAGCCCTCCAGGAACATTGAGACACAGACTTCAAGCCTTACAATTCCAGATTCTGGATCGAATGTTCGCGAAAGAACATCGACGGCAACGACATGCGTGGACTTATTATTCCACGGGCAGTATTTACGCCAGTTAGCAGTGGATACCTCTTCCCACGAGTAATCGAACGTGCATTCCGACGCGAAAACTTTCATAGCGATCGACGGCCGCCAAATACCGGCACGAGGAAGAAACGAACGAGCCCAGCGGGATAATAGAAATTAACGATTAACTTGAAGCTGCCTCCCTACTTTATACGCAGCGAATAATATTAAAGTAGAAAGGAGAAAGGAGAGCGGCGAACTGGCAGAATCAAAAAAATAAATAATCTGCGGTAAGTGACAGCAAAAGTGAATCGACTCATCAACGCATCTGTGGAGTAAAAAGAATTAATTCTTGCCGGAGAGGCGGAATCCCGAATTATTGCGGCGAAATCGCAACCCAAGGAAAATTTTTGGGACAAATCCAGCTGCAAGCTGACTCAGCAGGGGTCTGTGCAGTTGGTTAAGTACCTTGCTAATGTTGTTCCTACTCTGTACCTCGAATAGTTACTCTGTGATCAAGAGGGAATCTGGATTTTCTTCCGTTGTTCTTGGATATCATTGATTCTCTCTTGCGAGGGCACTAATTTCACCCTAGCCAAGAATCGCTAGCAAGATAATATAAAATTTGTCATTGAAGGGATTGTGTCTCCTATGTGGTTGACCTGGATCTGGTTCTATGAATCTCATCCAGCTTGTTTTAGAGAGTGCTGAATACTGAAGTGCAATATGGCCATCCCAGGTCAAATTTTTTTGGGTATTTCTGGAGCTCAAATCGTTGGATGGACGTTGTAATTTCTGATTCCCATCTCTCGGGAGCCTCTCGCTCTTACTCTCTTCTCCTTCAAAATTTTTGATTTTCTAATCTTCCAAGTTCGCAGCAAGTTAACTTTAAACTCTTTCATGCTGCTATCTTGCGCTCCCCGCTCTCCGGTTATGCCCTTAGCCTCAATGAGCTCAGGCTATAGGAGGTGTGCGTAGTCAATCCATGACAGTGAATGCTCTCTAGATATTGATAAATAACCCACACTAGGGCATTTCTTTCGCTATCAGAGACGCTCCTTCTGTAAAAAAGACCACCTTGATGGCTCCGATTCATTTGACGAATGTAGAGGAGGAAACTTGTAAGCTAGTCCTCGGGTACCCAGTCATTTTATGAGTCGTTCGTGCAGTACCGCATTTGCTCATCTCTGCCTCCCTGAATGAGATTTATTTGCATAACTTTAAGAGATGATCCACAAAAACATCGCTTGTTAGAGCGCATTGTCTCCTAATGCAGAGGGAATATATGATTAGCAAACAGATCCTTCCAAACTGGCCCACAGTGTCTTCCTGAAGAAAGTGTAGGAAGTTTGTTGGTATGTCTATATGAAGTTCTATCCAAACTCTTGTTGTTGATGGCGTTGTGATGGATGGTTTCGTCTACCAAGCTATCAGCACTTTAGCACCCTTTTGGAGAAGGCTTCGCAAAGGCAAGTTGATACTTTATTTTTCGTCTCAGGGCTAACAATTTGACAAAGGCCTTTCTATCAAAATTGAATCTCAATTCGAGACAACCGGTTCGTTGGAGCCTTCCCCAGCATGGCGACGACGTCAAATTGAAAGCCAAGTACTCCGTACTCCGTACTGCGTAGATGCTTTCGCATTAAGAACATATTGTGTAAACGAGGTTAAGTTAAGGCGAAAGGAGAACCAATTCCTTAAACCTACATTAAGAATCATCCAGACGAGCAATAATTCCTTTGGGCCATTGCTCAATTTCAACTGCTGTCAAACAATCTCTCCATGCAATGAAAGCAGCTACATATTTGGTGGAGCTTTCCCCGAAAGCTCTGCTGAGAGTAGAGGTGTAGCTTAGCTAAGTAGCTGATGTTGAGGCTGTGTGACTGTTTGTCTTTAGCATAAATCCTATGTTTTGTCTACTGGCAGTTTTGCGGGACATGGTAGGCGGGGATAGCAGACTCCTGAAGTAGTTAACTTTTTTTTGTGTCGTTTACTAATGACGACTTGAGTGGGTAGTTAGTAGTTAACTAGCTGTTGGAACCAACAGCCTCTCAGAGGAGGTGACGCGTGGGGAAATTGTCTGTGTTGAGGCATGTACCACCACAGCTATGGCAGGGTTAACAAGGCAGGGAGGTACAGTACTCTGTACTCCGTACTAACCCATTCCAATCCAGGGATAGCTTTTTATTCTGACAAAAGTAAACTGTCCGAGGCATACTCTGTACGGGAGTACCCCGTACTTCGTCGTACTTCATACACCGTGAATCATTCGGTCTGTGGGTAAAGTAAACATTTAACTAAATCCTCGCCAATTACGGAGTATGGAGTGCAATACGTTGCAGTTAATTAATGTGGGGTTCCTTCGCACCCGCGACTTCACAAGTCAAATAACTGGTTACGCAGCAAGGGACAGGAAGGACCTTTGATTGCAATTTTTGAATGTCAACCACTCTTCCCGCCATACCTGGTATACAATCCAGCTGCCCAACAACAATCCGACAAAGCCCTTGACTTACATACAAACCTAGGCCTACCGACGGTTTCCTTGCCCCCGGCCTGATCTTTGACTGCCTACTTAAATTAGAAATACGTAGTTCACACGGAGTACGAGTATCGACCATGCCCTTACAAATATGTGTACAAAATGCTGATTTTAATGCTCTTTCTTAGAACTCTTATCGATTTCCATTTTCTGTTGCGTGATTAGGGACACCCAGTCCCGCATAACTGAAGATTGTCTTGATCGACATGGCGGCAGAGCCTTCCCCCAAAGGTTCGGTTCCCCGCTTTGGGGAATGGCCTGTTGACCCCCAGCAGGACGTGCCCATCCGGAAAGAACGTATTTGGATAGATGGCTGTTTTGATTTTAGTCATCATGGTCGGTTACTCTCACATCTACTGTTGTCCACATGTCTAATCCAGGCGGAGTAGGCCATGCGGGGGCGATGCTGCAAGCAAGGAGATTGGGTCAAGAGCTTTTCGTTGGTGTCCATTCCGACGAGGAAATTTTAGAAAATAAGGGTCCAACTGTTATGACGCTGGCAGAACGGTCCGTTCAGTATTCCCGGTTGGAGCGGAAGCCCTTGCTGACATACTCTGGCTAAAGGGTGGCAGCGGTGGATGCTTGTCGCTGGGCATCTAAATCAATCCCCCACGCTCCATACGTTACATCATTGCCATGGATATCCCATTACGGCTGCTACTACGTTGTTCACGGTGACGACATTACTTCAGATAGTGATGGAAACGATTGCTATAGATTCGTGAAGGCTGCAGGACGTTTCCTTGTGGTGAAGCGAACTCCCGGGATATCAACCACGGATTTGGTTGGGCGTATGCTTCTCTGTACTCGTGGGCACTTCATCAAGTCTTTACCTGCCTTTCTAGCCGGCCAAGAAGGATCTGGACCGCCGGAAGAGCTTAAGGAGCTTGCAAAGCAGTCCCTTCAAAGAATTAAAGACTATGCCACGGATGAAACTGGTCACAACCCTGGACCCGATGTTTGGACTTGGACTAGTTCTCAGCAGCCAAATGACGATCACGATGCGCAAGCAACTGGATCGTTTGATCACTTAGTTCATGGAAAGCCCCCCAAGCCAGGGCAACGAGTCGTATACGTCGATGGAGGTTTCGATTTATTTTCATCGGGTCATATTGAATTCCTACGCCGTGTTCATGAAATGGAGAACGAAGAGGGCTCGCGCCGCGGATGGTATTCGTCCGATCAAGTGAAAGCCCGAGTCGAACAATGTGGAGAAGACTATGGACCTGCGTACGTTGTAGCTGGGGTCCATGACGACGAAGTCATAAACCGTTGGAAAGGTTTGAACTATCCTATAATGAACATTTTCGAACGTGGTCTCTGCGTTCTCCAATGTCGCGTGGGTACCCTTAACTACGTTCAATTACCTATCGACAAATACCACTTAACTAATATTTATTCGCAGTACGTTAACGCTGTTGTGTTCGGTGCTCCCTTTACGCCATCAGAGCCGTTTCTTCGATTACTGCCACTGGGTATGCCTGGTGCTGTCTATCATGGACCCACCACCTTCATCCCTTTAACGTACGATCCCTACGTTGACCCAAAAAAGCTGGGCATCTTTAAGGAGATCGGAACCCACCCTTTTCAGCACGTAAATGCTGGCGAGATCGTCCAAAGAATTTTAAGAAGCAGAGAGGCATTCGAGGCACGACAACGAGCAAAGCTGCTCAAAGCGATTGGTGAAGAAAACATTAAGCAGAAGGAGCAGCAAGAAGTAACTCGGCCCGCTAACTAGGCATCGGTTCCTTTATCTAGATTGCACGAGTCTTATAAATGCTGGAAAGCCACCAAGTTACAGAGGGCATCCGGTTTTCAGCACTTTGATATGTTTCTTGTTGATTTCTATTAGATACAGGAAAAATGTCTTGAGATTTTGGCAAGAGCCGAGGCTCCATATCTTCCGTGGATCGGATGTGGCTTGAGCTATATCGTCAGTTGGAATAATAATAACTTAGTTAGATTTAAGTCTTGTATATAATCAGCACGCCTAAGATATTACGGGCCATAGTCATGGGTTTACAACCCTGCACATTTAATGGAAAGTAATTTGATAATCATTGTACTCGAGACCGTATCTCTTGCTATAACTGAAATATGGACTTTATCATACGAAAATTCACCGTCTAAGATGTCCTGGATACAGAACCTTTCGTGGGGTGGCCTTCCTAGTGTCAAACACCCAGAAATCCTCCGAAGTATATGTAAATCGCTTGGAAACGCCATACTACTTCAGATCCCAACAATCATTTCCCTGGCTAGTCTGCAAACTTCCTCATTTTGCTGTCTAGTATCATGCTTCCATTTCTATGCAACATAAAAATCAGTGTTCAATGATGTGACGTAGTCAGCCATTAACTGAGGGGGCATCCTACCTTTTTTTGAACTGACAGTTCCTTCAGCGTGTCTCTCGTTATCAAAGCAATATTCCCACGTTGTTCTTCGGCTATTCTGCGCATTTCTTCGCTCCTAACAAATTGTATCTCATGTCTACCAACGGCCCGGTTGATTTTTCTGTTTAGCGATCTAGGCAGATTGGGACTGTAAAGATCTAGCGAGCGCGACCCAAAGACCTCGGCCCCAAGGCAAAGGATCTTGCTTTGAATCCTAGACCATTCTTGCCAAAGCTTTTCAAGAGTTCTTTCAATGGTTCTCAGCTTCTGGCGGAGCTCGCCCACCGGGGCCAGGTAACCGTCCTCATGTCGTGACTGTTTCCAATCAGGCAAAGGCCAACCCTCCAAGCCCATCACCCGAAACGGAGCCAGAGCACTATGATTAATTAACCCTAGTTCATCAATCTTTTCCATAGAAGTAGCCCTTGTGTGGTAAAGTCTCTCAGTAAGAAGCTGCTCGGCATCAATAAGGGAATTGAAGGCATCTTCAACGATTTCATCTTGTGTTCGGTCGAGGGAACCTTTATTTGAAATATATCAATTGGGGTGCATAGGAATGGGACCATGATAAACCCACGGGAAAACTCATTCACAATAGCGTGACCGACTGGTTCACCCGATGAGCCCTCACTGTTATGTTTTGGTGCAGCTCTGGTTCTTTTGTGTGCAACCTTGAATGGGGAGGTGGCCGTGGCCATGTGTGTAATAAAGGGACTTCTTTGGTCAGAATGGGCGGTGCGAATTTGTTGCTTTCGCCTAAAGATTCCTGACGCCAACATGGTGCTTCTTGAAAGAGACCTCAGCGCAAACTTTTGCTCTGTCATGATGGGCTGATGGAATGGTGTGAGATAGTTCACTGTGGTTTGACAAGTGTTCTTAAAAGATATAAAGTCACAGTATAAAACAAGGTAACTACTCTGAAGGTTCTCATCTGCTAAGAAGCTTACCTTCCCAATCGGGCCAGGCGAAGGTGGGGTTTGAGATTCATTCAAACTTCGTTTGATGGCCGGACGCGGACGCAATGAATCAAATCGGCTCTTCGATATCCATTCCTAGGGACGATATCGAAGCCCATTATATCATACACACGTGTCGAATAAGAAACACATAAAGAGACGCCGATCTTTTAGGCATGGGGCAAATAGGAAAAGCGGCCAGCCTGCAGCCATTGAGCTTCGGATTATTTTTATGTGCAATAACAAGACAAAAGTAACGTGGTGTCTATTTCGCAGCTTCCGATTCTCTGGGAACCAGAACTCCTTTCTCCTCGAGCAGCTTCGCTAAGTCCCCATTTTGATGCATGGACATCAAAATGTCACATCCTCCAATAAATTCTTTGTCGATAAAAAGCTGAGGAATGGTCGGCCAGTCAGAGTATTCTTTGATCCCTGCTCAGTACATCAGTCCCCGTATGTACTTTATGCCTTTCAGACTAGCGCCTGATGCACACATACCCTGCCTTAGTTCAAGATCCTCAAGTACATTAAACGCTGTAAATTTATCTGGGTCCACTCCTTGAAGTCCCAGAATCTGAATGCTGGCCCTGGAATATCCGCATTGCGGCGTCTCCGGAGTTCCTTTCATGAAGAGGACGACAGGTGCCGATGCAACTGCTTTATCTATGGCAGCTTTCATCTCGGTTGATAGCAAACGAATTTGCAGTGGCGATAATGTTGGAGCGAACAGAGGCCTAAGGGAATGAGAAGCCGGCCGAACTGCTCGGCAAAAAAACTGCACATTTCCTATCAGTCAGAAGGATTGCCGCTGGTGAAATAATGTGATCACTTACAGGAAGGGCAGCCATTTTAAGGATTGTTTGCAAAAGAGATTGATGATTATTCCCCCCACATTAAATAAGTTAATGAGCTTGAAATTGATACAGAGTACGGAGTATTGTTGCTAGGACTAAAAATGGTTTTCAACATCTTAAACTGACGACGTCAGGATCATCCCGGTGTGACAAGGTTTGGCCAGGGACTCGGCCTCTAAAATGGAATAGGTTTAGTGTGCTTAGTTAGACTGCCACCTACGGAGTACTGTACATGCAATCCGCCCGGAGATTGCACTGTGTATACAGAGTATGGACTGGTATGAACTTATAAGTGTTTTGTCGCAAAGAAACAGTGCTGCTGCGGTCACAAAACCTTTCTCTTCCCATAGTTACTTACCTGTCTAGTTAGCCATTTTTAAGTCTCTTACAGTGTGCTTCTTAAACCCCCCAATCTCTCTTGGATCCATATTTCTCATGCTACACCATAAACCCTAAACACTTGACTCTAATCTTCCTTAATGCCTAAACATCTCTTTTGTGATGAAAAAGGTAGTCAAAATTGAGATGATAGGTACTGAGGACATTGAGGATGAAGGAGATCTTGAAGCCCAGAACCTGAGAGTGTGAAGTTGTTATAAAAATCGAGTTTACGGAGTACATGTACTCTGTATGTACTTAACCAACTTGTCTGATTTTTCAATGTGATTTCCTGAGGTAGTTAGTCAACCCTCTACTCCATAACAACAGCGGAATATGGCATGGGCAACCAATTTCATCTCTTAGTACTCCGTACAGAGTATATTAGTGTTCTTACAAACATCATCCTCTAACAACTGATCAATTTCTATGGCATTATAGATTTTGGGCCCTTTTTCCTTTACTTCTTTCCCCTTAACCACATGGCGGACGGTATTGTGCCAGAACTCGGGCCTCCATTTTCGGCTGCCGATTACGCCAACGATGGGAAGGTCCATATCCTACTTGCGGCCAGTGGCTCAGTCGCTACGATTAAGCTACCCAACATCGCTGAAGCTCTGGGCCGCCACGCCAATGTTTCCATCCGCATTGTTTTGACGGAGTCTTCCAGCAAATTCCTTGCCGGGCAGAGTGCGGAACAACCGACCCTAGAACAGATACGCTGCCTCCCGAATGTCGACGGCATATATCAGGATCTAGATGAGTGGAAGATTCCGTGGGTGAGAGGAGCTACTATCCTCCATATCGAACTACGAAGATGGGCGCATTTCATGCTTATAGCTCCATTATCAGCCAATACGCTGGCTAAGATGGCACTGGGACTCGCGGATAATTTACTGCTCTCGGTAGTTCGAGCTTGGGATGTACAAGGCACAGTTGAACCCCCAAGGAAGATATATGTTGCCCCAAGTATGAATACGATGATGTGGAAGCATCCGCTTACCGAAAGTCAGATCAAGACGTTGGAGCGGGGTTGGAACGTGGACTCTACGGAGGGAAAGGGCTGGATTACGGTCCTAAGACCGATGGAAAAAGAGCTTGCATGTGGTGATACTGGCGATGGCGCCATGCGGGATTGGAGGGTAATTGTGAGGTTTATCGAAGAACACGTGGGCTTGAGTTCTTGAGTGATCGGCATCTATTTCTGAAGGGGCATCTCATTTTTGGTGACGTTTGTCGCGCCATCATCAGCCATCTGGTGAAGACTGGATCTTTGCGAAACGTACTCTCCAAACAATCCGGTGGCTATACCAGTACCCGTGAACCAGCAGCCATATTTAAACCACCACCAGCAATCTTTAACATCATCCAACTTGACACGCCATATCATAGTTCCCAAAGTTATAATTGCGCTTCCGCAACTGCCTACAAAGAAAATAGGACCAGAGCCAACTGCTACGCCAGCGGCGGCAAGCAGTCCAACCTGAGCAACCGCCAGACCAGAAAGGATTGCCTTTGTATCGCCCTGATGTTTGAGCGCGATGGATTTGATACCGGCAGCAGCATCATCCTTTACGTCCATGTGCGCATATATTGTGTCATACAATATAGTCCACGCAATACAGCTCGTGTATAGAGAAGCCGCGGCTACGGCGGCTCCGACATTTGCCAGAAGATCGATGCCCAAAGTTGGAAATCCCATTATTGCGCCCCATGAAAATGTCAGCCCCAGCACCGCTTGTGGGTAGTTTGTGACCCTTTTGGCTAGCGGATATGTTGCCACTAAAAGTAAGCTAGGAGTCGCGTACCAGAAGCAAGTCGCGGGAAACTGCAAGAGGACTGCTAAACCAACAAGAAGTTGTGTTCCGGTAAAAATCATCGCACTCAAAGGTGTAATGGCTTTTCTTGCAATGGGCCGGAATTTCGTTCTTTCTACATGGGAGTCGAGATTACGGTCCCATAAATCGTTGATAGCGCATCCGGCTCCCCTCATAATTAAGGCACCGAGGAAGAATAGGCCTGAGTACGAAACCACTTCTAATGGTGTTGCCATGGGCGTGGCGAACGGTGCGGCGAGAAGAGTCGAGAATAGGCATGGGAAAAACAGGTAGTAGGTACCGGTCGGTTTGTCAAGGCGCACCAATTCGGCATATGGTATCCATGATTTGGGCAGCGAGGCGATCAGACCGCGAGTCGGAGGAGTGTATTTGACGATTGGTTGTTCTGAAGCTGGATTAACGGGGCTCGCGGACGTTACGGCTCGGCGAAAAATGATCGAGGATGTCAAGACCGGTTGAGACGACACTGGCAAGACAAAGCTACGCCTCATACCGTTGGTCCCTCGTAACTTGGACGCGGACGAAAAGCACCTAAGGCTCCTTCGGAACCCATATCCATAACGGATTTCGGAAATGGGTTGGAGTAAAGGGCTGAGAAAGGTGAGCGATCGCATCACTGCTTTCAGAAATTTGCTGTGTAAAGTCGCCCAGTCGCACCTACCGGAAAGCCGGACTATTAGTTTCATCAAGCCAACTTTTGTTCAGCGGCATTCATGGTAGTGTTTCTTGATTCCAACAATACTAAGGTAGAGGGCCATACTCCGTGATTTCAAGCTAAGTAGGGAAGCCAAGGGTTGCTCGAGGCTTTATCATCATCATTCTTCGGACTCAAGTTGCTGGGACGCAGCGAGTCCTATTACGAGTTCTTTGATTGTGCTCCGAGCGCTGGGCCAGACGCGGGCGGGAGCTCTTAATCACGTGACTCTGTAGCTAACTCTGGCCTAACCGGTTATGGAGTAGTTGCCGAGGCAGGTACTCCGTAGTGAGATTACGTAACCAGGTACTCTGTATTTCATGTGCGCAGGGCAGGTAACGAACTGCAGTATTCACCTAAAAAGGTAACCAAGTAACTAGCTGCTTTCCAGAGCGCGCTTTTTCTAACTGGAAGCAACAGCGGGCGTCCGGACCGCATTTTCAATGCTATCTCACTCATGCTGAGCCTCCGTCTCAGGTCAAGTTTGGCATCAGGTTGCTCTAATAAAACAGTCCAGTGACATCCAAACAATGCCTTCCCGAAGACAGCCCCGAGCGTCCTTCGAGCCTATATCCCCCGATCTAGATCTTGCCGCGTTAGTTGAATCAACGCCGAATTTTGAATATGTGGTTCGGATCCATTGTGATGCCATTGACGAACAGGGCATCGAGGACTTTGAAAGATTGGTACAGCTGCACGTCATCATGGGAGGGAAGCCTCTTGTTGTTGAGGGATATCAACAAAGGCTAGAGAAATGGATATTTTCTTTGCAATGGTTGAAGGATAACCATGGGAAAAAAAGTAAGCAATCTCTAACTAGAATTTGCCTGTTTTAAAGTTGCTAAGATAAGGTGGTGTTAGCTGAAAACGCACGGAATCTCACTACCAAGTCCAACCTTCCATTAACCATTCACCATTACCTAAATAATATGGCCTTGCTAACGGACCAATGGACGGTAACAAATTACAAAGATCCAGAGAGACAACGGATCTATCTCAAAGATATTGACTGTCCCCCCATTTGGCATGAGAAGCTAAAAAGCATATTGCCTCCATTTTTATGCTATTTGAACGAAGCCGACGCTCAATGCGGAGCGGGAAGATCCGGAGATCTAATGAGCAGTCTTCCTCCGGAAATGAGAGCTGAAAACTTGATGTGCTATATCGGTCATGAGGGGACCTACACACCGTCCCACCGGGAAATGTGTGCTACATTGGGCCATAATATCATGGTTGAGACTTCAACGGGCGCCGTGGAAGATGGAAAACTAACCAAACCGGGCTCTTCTATTTGGTTCATGACAGAAAGCAAAGACCGACACTTAGTCTCGGAGTATTGGCGCTCTCGACTTGGACATGACATCGAGATTGAAGACCACTTCGCACAGATCAACGCCTGGAAACTTGCCCCGTTCAAAACGTACGTGGTGGAACAGAAAGTTGGCGACTTTATTCTCATCCCTCCTCTTGCTCCTCATCAGGTCTGGAATCGAGGTACTAGGACAATGAAAGTAGCATGGAACAGGACTACAGTGGAAACCCTGGAAATGGCGATTCATGAAGCCCTTCCAAAAGCGAGGATGGTTTGTCGAGACGAGCAATACAAAAACAAGGCCATTGTCTACTATAGCCTTATGAAATATTCTGACGTTCTGCGCGGAGTCGACCCGCGCAGTAACCCAAAGATGCGACAAATACAGAAAGATTTCCGGCGTCTCTTTACCCTGTATACCCAAATTCTTCTTTCCGAAAGTTTTTCGCAGAAATTGCCTGAGCCCAAAAGCGTGGAATACATCCCCTTTAGTAGCAACATTATCTGCTCATATTGCAGATGCAATATTTTCAATCGCTTCCTAACATGTCCTTCTTGTGTTGGGAAGCTTCCGGATGGGGACGATGATAATTATGATATCTGTATGGAATGTTATTCCATTGGCAGAAGTTGTGCGTGTATTTCCAAGCTCAAATGGGCCGAACAATTCAAATGGAAGGATCTTGTTAAGAAGCACGAAATTTGGCGAAATCAGATCCTACAGTTTCGAAATCGAACATCCGGTGCTGGTGAGCTTCCAGAACCTCTGATGGTGGAAAGAGTGCGCCTTGGGAAAAAGACACTCGCAGAGATCTGCCAAGAGGAATTGAGACGAAGGCCTTGGAACGATATTTCTAAGCCAGCACTTCGTGAAGAAAATGACGCGATAATTGAAGCTAATGATGATGGCTCAATCAGAAAACGTCGCAAGATCCGAAGATCTGAAAAATTTCGGAAGCAACATGCGAGCTGCCATATTTGCAAAACTCCAGAGCCCAAGTGGAAACTTGCTACCTGTGATGCTTGCGGACTAAATTATTGTTATGGAAGTCTTTATAGGGCGTTCGATACCTCTCCACGTGAGATCCTGGAAGAACGGAGCTGGAGATGCCCAAAATGTCGTAAGATTTGCTCCTGTGGGGCATGCCGGCGTGATGCGAGTATAAATCCCTACGAACCTACTGGAACGCTTCTTGGACACGATACTAGTAAGGTAGCCGACCCTAGAAGCGTGGAAAGTCTCGTTGACTTCAGCCACTCAAACATTACTTGGATTATCAAAGCTGGAGACCATGGAGAAAATCTCACTGAGACCCGCAGGTTGAAGAGAAGATTGGAAGAAGCAGAAAAAGCCAAACAACATGATCCAGTCTTGGAAGACCAGGACCTTGACCAAGATGAGACTGATACCCTGGTACCCGCTGCTAACAATGCTATCCCCATTGATCCATTGCTGGTTATAGAAAATAGTCGAAACCCCTCAGAAACACGGGATGAAAACGGCGTTCCCATTGACCCAACACTTACTGCTGATTTCGCTAGACCGGGTGATCCAAGGGAGATAGTCGTGCCGAGCAACGCAGTTTTCAAAGAGGAGATGACAAATCGTTACGAGGCCACAGAAGCAATTACTTTTGAGTACGCGGACCTGGAACCCTCGGTCACGACTTTACAGAACCCTCCTAGAAGTGCTTTAATTCACGAAACGGGAACCCGCACTACGGCTGGGCAACACTGTGCAAATGAGCATTCCACGCCTACATTTGGTTTGGACGGTGTAAGGGACATGTCAAGCACGACCATTATTCAGTCTGACGTATTACTTAATGACCTCAGTGTGAATGCAAATCGACACCCCCTCAAGAGATCCGACGTCCTTCGATCAAAAGAAGATGATGAGTTTATGCCTGACCCAGGATCCCTTCACAATATACAAAGTAGAAATGGTAGAACCGTGACGAGACGAAATAAAGCCCGTGTTAGATATACAGAGGAACCAATTGTTCTCAGCGATCAAGATGACGTCGAGGATGAACCAAGGCGAGTAGAAGGTCCACAATTTAAGCCGATTAACCTGAAACCAACTTCACGAAAATCCTCTCTACTTGACAAACTCGAAATACCAGGTGGTGAAGGGGCCATCGATGCCGGTAACACTTCAAGCCTGGATTCAAATTCCTTTTCTACGCAACAAGCACTTGAACTGAGCGGGTCACCATCATTGTCCGAATCCTTATCGAAGGAGCCAGCTTCGGATAATAAGGAAAAGCTGATGATCCAAGTCGAAAAGAATCGAAGAGCAAAACTGATGGCTATGCAATGGGCGGAAGGGAATACTGATGATATTGATAGCGAGGAGTGGATCTAGTCTGCTAACGAGGCCATAATTTTCTATCGTGCACAATCGGGCGTATTCAGTGACACTCTCTTCCGGATGTTCGACCCCGTCTATAGTGGTTGCTGTGCGTCGTTGCCAGGCGCTTTTTCTTTCTGGGTTGTTGTTTTGCTCACCGCCTGAGTTTCAACGTTGTAGCTCGGGATATCGGGTTTGCGGTTTGGACTGGCAGAGGCAACCGCCTTCCCCCGCCAGTTTACTTAACTCGGCATAGTTTTATCTCGTCTTTCACTTGTGATGGATTCTGGCGGCTATGATCTTTGTGTTTGAACTCTGTCAGCCTGTGAATAGCTGGTAGGAAAACTTGGGTGGCTGTCTGAAGTTCAGAAGTCCCTGCGTTGTGAACGATTTCGCATACATACGGCATGCCTGGAGTATCTCTTTGACTCGTTTGCAGTTTGCTTACGAAATGAACTCAAGTGCTTGATCAATCTGGTCTTCGGATCCCGGGATCGTGATTTCTCTGTTAGAGTCCTAATCACCGTGGAGTGTACCAAAGCGAAAAGCCAACCTCATGAGACTTCACTCAGGTACGAGATACCTGCACATGTCCCTGAAATATTTGAATTCCATCCCCCAAGCATTGAAGCTCTGCCATGATAGCAATTAGCACACATATCAATTCTGTAAGAAGAATTATGGCCGCACAAGTTATAAGCCCAGCAAACAGAAGTTGGGCGGGATAAATGGTACATTCTCATAAAGTATCAATAAAGGGGGGGAAGGTGCACCAGCAAAGCAACACAGTATCGCGGGAAACAAGTTCTACTCAAGGCCCAGAACACTGTAAGAGAGTGGTGAATACTGAGAAATCTGGAATGGACCAATCCTAAATTAGGCACCTTTAAAGTCATACCGCAGGCGTTCTAACTCTCCTATGTCAACAGATATCATGGCTCTTCGAACCATGAAGGTAATAAAATAGATCACTATATTAGCGAAACTTATTAGCTCTCATATCGTAGTGGTCCTGCTTAATCTTTAAGCTTACCACCAGGTACAACGTATAATATTCGTAGAACTTCTTTGGAAACGGATGAATCCCCAAGGAGATAAGCAGCTAGAAAAAGGAACGCGGAAACTAGGGCATTGCTCAAGCCTAAATATTTCTTTAATAATCCATCTTCTCGATTATTATCCCTTATTCGACGATCTCCCTTTGTATCTAGGTAGGATGGTATAAATTTCCACATGCTGTATGCCGTGGATAACAGGGATCCGATTCCCAGAAAACAGAAAATCTTTTGTGGCGCACTTAGACTCTGCACAAGCAAGAAAGGAAGATAGGTTATTGAGGAAATCAGAGGGATGGCCGTAAAAATGAGCTATGAGAATTGTCAATAGGAAAAACGTCAGATGCCCGACGTCACCTTCGTTTACCTTGTACTGGGCATTCTGCTTTTCATCTTGGCAGCGGAGATCCTGTATTAAAATTTCCTGCTCTAGATATACCCTGGTTAGCCAAAAGCTGACTTGGCTATTAGAGCTGGCTGCGGCCCACGGCATAGTGTTCCACACACCTTGTTCGTCAAGCTCCCCCCGCTGGCCGTCATCACTGTCCAAATCGGGGTAGCGGAATGTCTTTCGGAGACGAGCGGTTGCCATAATTAAAGGCTCACTGACGGCTTTTTGTAATGAATATTTGTGAGCTTCATATTTCGAACCTCAACAGCATACCAAGCTCATGAGAGCGTGCCAGCTGCCCGTTGATACTGCTGAGCTGGTTAGTTGTGAACATATTAACTAGCGGTTGCGGGTAGCTGCCTAAGCTTGCTTATCTCCACGTGACCGGATTAAGTATCCAGCACCTCCGTAGTTAACCCGACAACTAACTAGCAGTCTTTGGAAACAAGGTTCGCTCACAAGCCGACTCATTGCAAAAGCTCTTTGATGGCAGGATAGTTGATTGCAAACAACGTGGGAATTTCGGCGACCATCATGAACAGCACATTGTTCCTCCGATCCGGTAGACTTCCAACAAATGCCAACCGTATTCGTTACCGTGCATGGTCCTTCCGGCGCACACTAATTGCGGCGCCAGGCCCTCGCTCGGGGCCCCTCCTAAGTCGAAGGGCCGACCGCGAACTTCCGTCAATTGATTCCCATCGGCGGTGGATTCGAACTCTTCCTTTATTTGCTGCAGCTATTGGTGTCTCTATGTTGGCGATATTCAACTACCAAAAGTCATCTTCGAGTGTCGTGAACAGCACCATGTATGCTCTTAGAACGTCTCCCAAAGCGAGAGAGTTTCTGGGGGATGAGATCTACTTTGCGCAAAAGATACCATGGATTGGCGGAGAAATCAATCAACTTCATGGACGGATAGATATTTCGTTCTGGGTCAAAGGAACACGTGCGAAGGGGAAGATGCGGTTTAAGAGTACTAGAGAAAATCGCATGGGTTTTGTAAGCTTTTTTCTTTTCCTTTTTTTCTTTTTTTCTTTTCTTTTTTTTTTTCGTTTCTTTGAAATACTGTTCTTGATTTTAAGTCTATTGTTTTCACCCTTTGTTTTCTTCAAAGTACAAGATATCCTGTACTAACCTCAGCTGGTCCGAATAGTTCCGTACTGAAGACTGGAGCCTGGAGATGGAGGATGGGACAGTGGTTCGGCTGTTAAATGCAAGCGGTGGCGATCCATTCCAGCATTCAATTGGGACGGAGGCCGACCAACAGGCTACGTCTTCGATATAGAACAGTAATTCACATCCTGAATTATCAAGGCTTTCTCTCCTATCATCGAGGATTGGCCCGGCGTTTACATTTTTGTTTATGTTTGCTGGAGTTTTGGCGAAGTGATGTTGGATTGGGGGGGATAGGATACATTGGTGTTCTTACTGATTGATTCCACACTCAAAATGTAACTGAATAGTTGCTAATGTACAATACAAGAAGGAAATATGGGTCCGTAATTATTCCGTTAACTTGGCCGCTAGGATGGAGTCTCCGGCCATGGTTTCTTAATAGCATCATGTATCTTGACACAACGGCCCTTTGGTCCACCCACAGAACCTACAAAAAAAGAAAGTGATGATTTAGTAAGTATAGGTCAACGTAAAGAGGAGTGGAATGGGCCTTTTACGAACCTTTTACCACGACAAGCCCCTTTTCTGGGTCGACTTGGAGAACCCTTAAGTTTTGAATTGTCACCGGCGTATTTCCCATATTTCCTGCCATCTTTTTTCCCGGATATACTCTCGAACCACCACCCTGGCTTGGACCAGTTGTACCCAACGAACGATGCGTCAAACTGACGCCGTGACTGCGATCCTGTCCGTGAAATCCCCACCGCTTCATGACACCGGTGAAACCCATACCCCGACTCTTCGACCGTACGTCGACGAATTGACCCTCCTGAAACCAGTCTGCGTTGATCATTTGGCCAATTGGTAGCAACCCTGCTTCGTCCCTCACCCGAAACTCCTCAACATAGCGTTTTGGAGAAACCCCATTCGCCGCGAAGTGGCCTAGCATTGGTTTTGTGACGTTACTCTCATGCTTCCACCCAGCGCCGACCTGCACCGCAAAATAACCATGTTTCTGGCGGGTTTTATGTGAAATTACCTCCACTCTGTCGAGCTGGAGAATAGTGCAAACTGTTCGCTTTCCAGTTTCCGGGTCAATAACTGCAGACATTCCTTTCTTTATAGCAAGCGCGCCGGTCCGAAGAGGGAGGGTGTTCATTTTGCGTTCATAGGCTGAAGACGGAGAGGATGTGAGGACGGGCATATCTGGGCCAACATTGAAGCGATGCGTTTTCGGAGGATATAAGGCTTTGATGCCGAATGATCTTTGAGGGACATAGTAGGTGACAGCCGGCTGAGGGATTATAACGGGCGCGAGTAGTTGCTGGAAGCTTTTAGACTTGAGCCGCGGAGGCATGGCTAACGGTGACAGCTATTGAATTAGTATAATGAGACAATTCCTTCTGGGACCTTATTTCCCGCTGTCACTCAGTTCATCGAGTCGGAGCTTCGATGGTGTCTGAAATCGAATTTCTAACCACGGACAAATATATTATCCGATGCCAAGAAGCGCCCGCGAGGACCAGCGCCGGAATGTTGCCCGCGATCAGGCAATATTTCGAAGCGTTCAAACGTACACACATACCTGTCGATTATCGGAGACGAAGTAATCAATCATTCTAGAAAAGGCGGCTTTGACAGTCGCTTTGCAAGCGGATTGTCCTCCTCCCAAAGCCTTTGCAACTCACCCACCAAAATTGGCTTGAGCAGCGTCCCCAAGCTCTCCAGTCTTGCAAGAGCGATGTCCGCTTCCCGGCTTTTCGCTCCCTTTGGCACAGGCCAATTATTCCATACATCCAGTGAAAGCCGGGGCACACTTTCCTTTTGGTCCGTCACATCGAGTCGGACGTGGCGGCCTATCCAACTGCCTACTGTGCTCCGCTCGCGCCTTCGATCCGTCCACACCTCCGCGAGACCGCTCCTTTACCCCCACCTGACACAATCCTCCGCAAGACGCGCGACAGCATCCATCTTTTTCAGGCCCTCCAGCCTCAGATCCTCCGGCCGTTCCACCCGCCGCTGGAATTCCACCAACTCATCTCCTCCAAAACCGCCCAGCTTTTCTGAGCGCATGCGCAAGTTATCCCGTGAGTACGGATGGTCCGCATTGGGAATATATCTACTTCTGTCAGCACTTGACTTTCCCTTCTGCTTTGCGGCCGTTAGGCTATTGGGTGTTGAGAGGATCGGACACTATGAACATGTTGTCGTTGAGTCTATGAAGAACATCCTCAGGCCAATTTTTGGCGCCAGAAAGGATACAACAGAAAACCTTTATGGGGGTGATGTTGCAATGGCTACAAGCGTTGAAAGAACTGCATTAGATCATGGAGTAATGAAGGCTGGAGGCAAACCCGCCGGCGAGGAAGCTAGTGCGTCTCTTTTTAGCTCTCTATCCCCGTACTCGACAGCAAATCTCAATGACTAACGCTTTCATTCGCTTCTTTGCAGGTATTTGGACTCAGCTGGCATTAGCCTATGCAGTGCATAAGAGTCTAATTTTCCTTCGAGTTCCACTCACTGCCGCTGTCACCCCGAAAGTTGTAAAAACCCTAAGACGCTGGGGTTGGGATATTGGCAGGCGGAAACCGAAAAGTGGGTAGATAAGATTCCGCTCAAAGAGGTCCAGCTTTTAAAGAGTCAGGAGTTGGCTCGAGCAATGACGTGTTGCAAAAGCATCCCAGTTCAAAATTCCTCATGGGACATTGGTCCTCCCATCCCAAGAGACCAAAATATACCGCCATAGAACCGCCTATTGCCCCACTCATTACACAGACATTTTGAGCGACACTTTGACATACACATTAGACCTTTCGTCATACCTGCAAACATCTCCTGTATTTATCCATATGTGTACTATAATATTTATAAAAAGAGATCATGGAATCATCTGCTAGATTCGTGCATGCGGCCGCCTAACTACACCAAAGATCGATATTCGCTAACCCAGCGACCAATAAACGCCGCGGTCATGGCATCACTTTCGAGCTTTGGAGCTTCCATACACTGGATTGATGAGGAACCACAAAGATCCGTTGGGAAGGTTGGGGTGTAAGGGGGCCGGCTAAAGGGCATATCGAAGATCAAAGGCCATATCAACCGCAAAAAACTTGCCACAACCCCTATAAATAAACTGAGAGAAAGGGAAAAAAAAGGAACGCACAGCTCGTACTAATGGAAGTAAGCCCAGAAAAGCCAATCACCACTCAGCCATTATTAAAATGGGATGTCAAAAATTCTCGAGTAGAACCAGAATCGTAAATCACATATCAATGCTGTCGTTAAACCGCAAGACACCAGTCCCTCTCATTACGCCATTGACGCCTGTCGGCATGCGATATGCCCACTCGGTTCTAACCGGAGCACCGGGTCGACTTCTTTCGCCGGCTTCATCGGATGTGTCCGCCACGAGAACAAGTCCTTGTTCTTTGATGGATTCGACGAGCGCAGGCATAACATTCTTTTACAAACACAGTGAGCAGGAGATAAGAAAATGACCTAGTAAACATTCCGGAGACTCACCAATAGACTTGAGCGACACATTAAACCCATGAAATTATTGCTCTGGGCAATTCGAGCCGCTTCTTTGATGGACATCGAGGCGCGTCCGCTACAGCGAATCAACGGCTGCGAGGTTGAATCCCGTGTTAGGTCGCGAATCTGCCCAAGGTCATTGCAAAGGACGACAGGAACTAATCAAAAGGTCAGCAGCAATCCAAGGCAGACAAATCCCTTTAAGAAACATACAATTCGGCTGCTTCCAATTCAACGCAATACAAATGTTAGGATTGTACGAGGTGAACACAATGGAGCGCATAAAATATGGGTCATTTTCTTTGGACGCTCTGGCGTGATGGAACACTTCGGCGAGAATAGAGTCGGCAAAAACATTCACATCAGTTTGTGGCCCAAAACCAAACTCTTTCTCATCAGCGATAGAGGGGTATAGGATGCAAAGGTTGACATGAATATTGGTCGGAAGGTGCCCAAGAACTTCTCGCAAAGGTAGAAATGATGTCGCGAGGACTCGATGGACATGAGCTAGATCATCGATACTCATTGCATCTAATGAATGAAGCAAAGCCGATTCACTGGACTGCATTTGAGCGTGACGTTCGTTCCCCACAAGCTTGAACTGTTCGTAGGTTAAGTGGCAGATTGGAATTTCAATGCCATGATGGTTGACAGTAAATTCTGGGTATAAAACCGGAACATTGTCCGCTGTCAACTGAATAAAGAGTTGAACATAATCTCCCGATAAGCTCGAACCAGTGACTTGCCCATTATGATCGGAATCTAGAGAGCTAGTGGCCTTCCAATAGGTCGCAAAATGCGTTATTTCAAGAGGCTCTCCGTAGTACGGCTTTATCACCTGGAAGCTAAACTTCATTTCGCCGATTGGCCGTAACCTTGGATCAAAAAGAGGCAGACAGTAGGAACCCGAGCTTCGGATGCCTCCCGTAAAGAGATCCGGCAGAGCGACTGTTTTCGCGATTACCTTAGAGCCAAATGTAGGGAAGATCTCAAACTCAAGGGCAAAATTGTCCAGCCGGTCAATTTGGAACGATATAGCCCTGGAATCCTCTTGCAAAGGCAACATGATATTCCGCGGAATCAGGTCTGACATCTTGGATGATATGATCAGTCTGGCAGCAGCGTAACGACCCGCTTGGTAGAACAGAATTGGCTCCGACGGGGCTGGCTCAAAGCAGATCTGGAGGAATGTTTTGTTATCCAGGAAATTATGCCCGTAACGGCGTAGGGGAATAATGGGGGGAGGCAACGATAAGTCCGGAATACCATCGCCATCCATTCCCCCGGGACCCGGATGTTCTGCAAGAGCTGGAGAAGTCATTGAGGCAGCGTCGCGGAAATTGGGTCCGTTGAGGGTATTGAGCCTTGGTTGGGAGAGCCTCGAGCTGGTCTGTCTCGACCATAGAAGGATCATACATTCTAGATGACCTTCCCAGACGGCATAATACATCGCGGGGAAACCTTTTTCATCCAGAGTGTCGGCATCAACACCACTATCTAGGAGTGTCCGCAGACAGCTAACGCATCCTTCACTGGCGGCATGAAATAGTGGAGTCCATTGATAGAGCTTGTCTTTTTGATCAAGGTCCGCACCGTGACTTTTCAGGAGGAGGATCACTTCCGGAGCCCGACAGGACCGTGCCACCAAGTGTTGCGGGTATAAGCCTTCAGCATCCGGAAGTAGTTTGGCATTTTGTTCCAAAAGCATGCGTATGATCGGTAAAGATGCGTGTTGGCATGCCAAGTTCAAAGGAATATGATCCGAGTCTGATGCTGGATTGATACGTGCATGGTGGGAGAGGAGCTGTTCCACGCAAGAGAGCTGGTCTCGAATAATACTGTGAATCAAAGGAGTGAAATTATCATGATCCATGAAATCGACAGTGGTTGGCCCAGCATTAACGAGAGCTCGAACCATTTCAACCCGGCCGTGCATGCAAGCATAATGTAGCGGTATCCTCCCGTAAACATCTGGGTGTGAAACGTCAACTCCGCGCTCCAGCGCAGCTCGTAGGACAAATTCCCGTCCTGAGATAGCTGCTTCATGCAAACAATTTCTCTCGTTGATGTCATCTTCAGCATGCATATCCACTAGGCCTGTATCAAGAAGTAGTGTAAGGATCTCATCCGGGAATTCATTTAACGCAGCTAGAAATATGCGCGTAACCCGGGTGCCGGCATCCTGGGAAGACTGCAATTTTGAGATCCAGTCCCGCAATACTGAAAGGTTTCCGGTGGATGTGGCGTGAAGAGCATGGAGATCAGCATCATCCTCTTCGGGAACAATGTTGGATCGTTCAACAGTATAAGAAGTATCAAACTGTATATTTTCACCTTCCGCCCAAGCTTCTAGCTCCAATCGTGCCGTAGTAGCACGATCCGAGAGATCCCTGAGGACATCACGGTTAAAACACGGTTGCACTTCAACTGCGCGCTGAAGGTAGACCTCCTTTGTGCGAGACTGGGTAGGGTTAGACATGGCACACAGCAATAAAACCACAGAACAGGACACAAGAGACAAGTTAAAAAAAAAAAAAAATGTACCTTTGATGTTTTATCCCACTTACACACAGTTGAGTTAGCTTCCTTCTACCAGGGAGAGCTCCGCGGCATGTGAGAAGGTGTAACGAACCTTCTTTAAAATCTTTGAAACTGCAGTTTCATTTACTTCAACAAATTGCTGGGCGAGATTTATCTTCATGAGTGTGATGATATCAAAAGGACAGGGCGTTCCAGCTTACTTGGAGCTTATTCAGATCGCCATCGAACTGCTGGAAACCTTCAAATAAGGTGACAAAATTGGCAGGCGTCTTCGAATTTGATACCGACCGTTTGGACTGAACCACTCGTTGCTTATCAAGTAGGGTTTTTAAGCGTAAGGAGAACTGCAACAGCTTTGCGGTCAGGAGGCTGCCGCGAAAGAAAAGAAGTCAGGCACAAAGGAAGGACGAACCTCAGCCTCTTTTTGTAAATAAAACACATTGACTTTTTCAATCTCCCTCTCCTAAGTTGAAAAAAAAAAAAAAAAAAGAGTCAAAAAAAGAACAAAGCACCGTGAGCCGTTTGAGATCATGAACAACATGCTCGCGGAGCAATGGCGGGAGGGAGTATTGGACATACAAGCCGGAAGAAGAACACCTCCTTGTTCGCCCGAAGAGCGGCCTGCGGATCAAGAGTGTCCGACGCAGGAGACGCACTAGCTCCCTGGGCTGGGATCGTTGGGGTCGCGCTCAGTTGCTTGATAAGCTGAACAATAGGCCCAATTCATCAGCGACGTTCGCCCAAATACGACAGGATAGTCGGCATCCGGAGACACTTAAAGCCAAAATAAAAAAATAAAAAAAAATTTCTGCAGGATCTCACCTTCTTGAGGGCCTTATAGTTGAAAAAGCTGGCCGCATACTCGGGGAGGTCGAGCTGGCGCCGCTGGATATGCTTTCCGAACTTCCTGCGACATTGAACATTGGGTTAGTGACCGTTGAATGTGGGATAACATGGGAAAGCCATCGCAGCTCTCCCCCGAAACAACCTGCTGGAATAGCTTGCTCACATAATGTCCCTCAAGCTTGATCATGGGCAGGGCGTCGGGGTGGTTCTTGTTGACGGGTCCGAGAGAACGGCCCTTGGAGTAGGAGGCGACGGCCGCAGCAACAGGGGAGACGGAGGACAGCGCGTTTTTTTAGAGAACCGGGCGAGTCGACAGGTCCTTGCCAAGGGCTAAGTGCCAAAGTCAGACTGATATGTAGCTAAAGATACTGCGTGGAAGAAGATGGGTCAGCCAAAGCAGTCAAGGCCATGGCAAGATAGCTCGGGGGGGAAAAAGAGGCGCGGCGGGGAGAGGGGTGGGCAGGGAGGAATTATTATAGCAGAACGAAAAGATAAGCAGCTAGGTGAACAGCGCATGAGATAGCATTGATGGAACGTCTAGCTAAAAGGGTTAGATGGAGACAGGTAGCAGAGGGCCATACATTGGTGCAGGGTTGGAAATCGATCCGCATCTTTTACGTTCAAATGGGAACCAAACATCCACCCCTCGGGAGCTTCTCGTGTCCGGAAAACCTATAGGAAGCGGTTCTTTCTAGCAATCTACCACGGGTGCCACGGGGTAAGTGGGCAGCAGTTGACAATGGGGGTTTATGTGTTTATCTTGTCCGATTCTAGCACCGGATCGGATGGATGTCAACGGAGTGCTACGATGTCGTAACGCATACACTGCGGGAGTGGCTGGATCTGGCTGCAGTTTTGATGAAGACAGAGAGAATGGAACGGCGGATTGAATCGGATGGAGTTTTCATCTTAGTAGGGGAAGCCTTTTTCTTTTTTTTTTTCTCCCCCCAAATTTTCGGCTCTCAGGTCTTGACGTCGAAGCTTCACTTTTTTTCTTTTCCTTTTTTTTTTTTTTTTTTTTTTTTTTTTTTCCCCCCCCTCTACGCTTTTTAGCCTGCATGGAAGCTCTCCGACGGGGTGACGATGATGCCGGTTCGCCAAGACCCTCACACGCCTCCTCGTCCTATCAATCCGCCATCCGTGCGCTACGGCCCCTCCCATTGGAGCTCGACCGCGAAGCAGCATGCCACTCCCGGGGCGGACCAACGAGCACGCTTCGTCGTGTCTACATGTATCGCGGCCAGCGCCGTGTGTCCTCCGGTCGTCCATCCATCGATCAATCAAAATCACCTGGCCCTGTCTCCTTACCCGGGGTTAAAGCTACCTTGGCGGCGTTCCTGGAAATACTCAATATCTACGGAGTACAGGACCATCAGCACATTCGATTCGACGACGGCGAGGTGCGTATCCGCAGCCTCGACTTACTGTATCCGGCGTTGAGGGTTGGCTTGGGCGAAGGTTCTCGGCCAGGTGTTCTGTCGTGTTATCCCTGGAGCCAATTTCTTTTTCGAACTTCGGCGAGTAAAAGTCGATGTCGGGGCCGCTTGGCTACATGGTGAAGCCCGTTTTTCAACGCCCGGCCGGAGCAAAAACTTAATCTAGCATGACATCACCCCCCGTTTGCCTGTATATATATAGGGCCGGGTGAACCGTAGATACAAGGAGCCAAGTTGTTAAAATGTAAACTATTGTTTTAAATAAAGAACACACCCAGACAAGTGCTGTCCGGGAATATTAAAAATATGAGATGTTCCCCCCCGTTATTATCAGCCGCTGCCATCAGGGCTTTACAGGGAGAAATTTCAAAGTTGAAGGATAAAAAAGAAAAGAGATATTTAGATGGCATATGTACCATGTAATAATAAACACAAAAGTGGAGCAATGGGGTCAGAAACTTCGTGAGCTTTCATACAGAAACCAGGGTTCTAAAAGATATGATAGATATGAAAAAGAAAAAAAAAAAAAAAAAAAGGAGAATGGGCCAAAAAGGAACGGGGACAACAGGACCAAAAAAAAAAAAGAAAAAGAGACGAAAAGAAAGAAAGGTAGGGAGGGGGAACGGGGGGGACAAGTTCCGGGATATCAAAGGAGGTCAGTGACGAGGCCAAAGCCTAGCACAGTGTCAGAAAGCACTCAAAACTGTTTCGGAACGGCAACAACAGAGATACATTTATAAAAGCAAGTTAAGCAGGCGACTGTCAGAAATTCTGCGAGATACCCGCATTTCCCTGTTGTGGGAATACCGAAGGGTTTTCAATGCGCGTGTTCCGTCTTGCTTGAACATCCCGGATCACGGGTTGCACATTGCTATACGCACTATCTCCATACGGCCCTTGCTGCCCTAGCGCATCGCTATAGTATGGGTTTTCTTCATAATAATGAGTCCCAGGGGGGGCACCGGGAGGCGAAATATCATCGGAGATATCTGAGTGATTTGCGACGGAATACCCGGAAGAAGCATTAGAAGGGCCCCTATGTATATCTCCCCTGTTGCCGGACCTCGCAGGCAACGCCCCGATGGTCTCAGAGTCACCAGAATCCGGTCGATGGCCATTGTCAGCGTAATGGCCACCGTCGTCTATCGGGGAGACGGGCCGAAACGGCTGGCTGCTTCCATTATCAGAAACCGGCATGCTTGGGCCAGTGGAATATTTCCGCGAACTTGAAGTTGCGCCCCAACCACGATAGCCGGAGTTGCCATCTTTCGGCCCGGACGAGTCGTTGAAGTTTCCGGTAAGGCCGATCGCAGGAAGGGTGGGATCGGTGTTCGGGTTAAATCGATATTCTTCAATTTCCTGTTTTCGCTCTTCTTCGGCAATCTTTCTCGCTTTCCGCTTTCTCCACCAGAATAGCAGTGCTATAATTATCAAGGCCACAGACACAACAGGGACCACAACGGCGACTGCGATCGTACCGCCCGCAGATAGTCCCCCTCCATTACTCGGGTGCGACGTGGAAGTTGGTAACGTTGAAGTTGTGCCTATAGTCGGAGAGGCCGGATTATTTTGTGGTGGGGTTGGCGTATTGGGATCAGGAATGGGTGGCAAAGTCGACGTTACTGTCGTTATGACAGAACTCACCCTGGGGGTGGATTGCTGCGGCGGCGGCGGCGGCGGCGACGGTGACGGGGGTCGTGGTGACGATGAGGGTGGTGGTGGGGGACGAGAAGGGGAGGGCTCCTGAGAAGAGGTCGGGGTGGGTGGTGGTGGTGGTGGTGGATTATCGGTGGTTGGCGGCGGCGGCGGTGGAGGTGAAGTTGGTTGCTCTGGTTCCGATTGCGGTGACGACTCCGGAGGAGGTTGAGTCTCTGCAGGCGGCGGTGGTGGTGGGGTCTCGGGTGGAGGTTGATCTGGAGGTGTTGGCTCGGTGAGAGAAGCTGTGCAACGGGGTTGTCAGGACAATCAACCACAGAAGACAATGGGACAAAACGAATGGACCAGGCATACCCTGTGGCGGAGGAGCATCGGACATTGCGGGCAGTTCTGGACGGCGTAACCGTTTTCAGCACAAAAAGATTCCGCAACAGAGTGAAGCAATGGCACCAAAAGAAAGCTTGGTTGAAGGTTCACAGGCACTAAGAAGTCAACTGTGCCTGAAATTGATCCTCCCTTCCACACAATCTCCAATCTGCGATCGTGGTCTTGACGCAGTAGTGGCTACCAGAAGATAATTGATGAGGCGCGATCCCAGCTTCGGAGCTTCGTCTATTCAGCAGCCGCGCGATTGCGTGTGGTGACGACCGGGGGAGCACGCTATCATCTAGGCACGAAACGGGTCCAGGGCGGCAAGGCACGATTTCATCAGCCCGGGTTTGAGAGGCTGATATATTTTGTTTCTGGATCTTTCTTATCTTTCTTTTCTATTGTTGTTGGTGTTGGGGAATAATTACGTATGGCTAGGATGGGAGCAATGACGCCAAAGAGGAGCGCTGCTTTGTTGTCGAACTCGGTGCTGTTCCTGAATGATACTGTATTGATCAAGATCTGGATCATCAAACGGCGGATGGTGACAAGGCAGCCTAGGATGAAGCGGGAAAGCAATGTCTCAATGACGGACCGGTCGGAGGCGAGAAGCGAATGGAGAGGAAAAATAATTAAAATAAAAAAAATAATAAATAAAGAAAAGGGCACTGGAAAGAGTGAAATGTGAGTGGGCTTGTTGCCCAGCACCGGCCTCAGAAACGTTGTCGGGATCGATGAACGGGTGTTGATTATTTTCAAACCAAGTTGATGTCGAGGAGGCAAAGCGAAAGGGAGATCTCCGGAAAGGAAGCAAAAACGAGCGAGAATCCCAGACGCCGGGGTCTCTCAAGTGCGATTCTTTACAAGTCACGGTATGGGGGCTGTACATACCAGCAATCCATCCATGCTCGTACAGAACACGGAGTTCGGAGGAGAGTCTGACAAAAATAAATTAAAGTAAAAATTTCTTTTGCGGACCCTTGGGCTCCTCCTTTCAACGATGATACCTCAAGGGTCCTCCATTCACTGGACGAACCGAGCTGCAACGTATTGCCATTGCTTCGCCTCAAAACAACAGCAGCCAACCCGCGACGTACTGATTTTCGGATTTGCGCCTGTGGGAGGCTGTATTTGTCGCCGTTCCGTACGCCGTTAGTTACAAGGAGCGAGCAAGAGACCCGCTCATTTAGTGGAGTTACAAAGATCCCCATGAGCGAGTAGTTTGTCAAGGTGACAGGGGAAAAAAAAAAAAACAAAAAAACAAAAAAACAAAAGGAAAAACGAGGGTGGCTTATCATTTAACTCTTGTACTCCGTAAAAAAACGAAGCCTAATTCTTTAAGTACGATCGTGTGCTCATACGTTCCAGCAGCACGGAGTTTGCATGGAGGAAGCAACCGCTGTTTTACTACGGACTCCTTACTCCTCTGACACAACACGCACTCACTCGAACCCACACAGGATGGGAAATCTCCTTTTTTTTTTTTTTTTTTTTCTACGGACATGAGAGCGAGAAATGCCTGGCTGGATAGGGTTCCGATATTGTTTGTATTCAGTATCGTCGGCCACCCTGGATTGGGACAAGCAAATACATCCCGCTCGGCCTCACACCTCAAATACCGTGAATTACAGGTACTTTTCTGGAACATTACTTACGTAGTGCCGAGATGTGTCATTGGGTGAGCCGCATTTGGCCAATCTCGCTCTTTGTCGGCTTCCCAACTCAACCTTCCAACGGGCGCGGGTTCTTGTCTGACTCTCCAGTCCCAAAGAGGCGTTTTTTTTTTTTTCATATTTCCTGTGTTGCCCTGACTCAGGCGCCCCAACTCACCTTGGGACAACGAGGATCCCATCTCTCGCAACAGTCGGGTCTTGAATTAAAAAAAAAAAATAAAAAATAAAAAATAAAAAAATAAAAAAATGTGCTTCGACTGGCGATCTCAAGCTGTCTATTGCTAACATCCACCATGGGCAAAGTTGGCCTAACAGATTCAACATTGAGAGCTCAGTTAGGTTCGGCTCGCAGGGATGAAACAGACGCCTTTTGTCGCTCATTCTTGGAAACGCGATATTGTTGCTGAACGACCCCTCTTTTGTGAGGTCTGTGTCACAGCTACCATACGAAGGCCTCACCCGCAAGTGTCAACACCTTTCGCCCAAAACTAGTGTTTCCTCCATGTTTCAGGCCTGCATACTCTGTACATGAACTAGTTAAGACCTGTCTCTCCTCCGTACCACCTAAACCCTCTTTAAGTTTACCCTGTTTATTTATTTATTTCTTCACCATGAGCCACTTCCTATAGACATGCCTATGTTTAAACTGCTCTCACCATATATAAGATGTCCGCTCTGTACATAAATGATTGACTGCCGAAGCAGCAGATCGATGTATACCCACACCCCCCCAAAATTGAAAACCGAGTTGCCTACAGGAATCCAATCATCTCAAAAAAAGAGAAGGGGGGAGGGGAAGTAAAAGAAAAAGGAAAAAGGAAAAGGAAAAACGAAAAGGGAACATATCACCAACTACTCCAAGTCTATTAACACCAAGTGTCACTTAATGGTAGAAAACGAGAAAGGTTGAAAAAAACGAGGCAATTATGGTATTTTCCCGAAGATGAACAATCGCGATTATGGTGAAATCATCATACACCCGCAGGAAGACATACAATGCTCATTAGACGGAACACTCAAGCTGTACATAAAGGGGAAAATAACCGAGATCCAAGCAGCTTTAGGTTTTCATGTCCCAGGTAGGGCGGAGGTTCGAAATAATATCATCTTTGGTACCAACTGTCTGGGGTGGGAGACGGCTAATGCGATAAGCTCCGGTGCGAATGCTATAAGATTGCGCTGCTGAGAGACCTGTTCTGTTACTGCGAATGCTGCCTGCATCGCTGCCGGAGTCGGCATTCTTGAAGCGGGGAGGAGGCACAAAGTCTAAGGCAGTAAAAGTCCCAGATTTCCTCAACGCATGCCTGAGGCTGCCGGTTAGCTGGATTAATACTAGAAGTATGGAGCAGACTTGTACTTACGGGCTAGGGAGCATAGCAAGGTCATCATACGATGATGCGAGAGGAACATGTGCCGGAACCGTGAGCATATACGGTCGCACACCACCCTGGGGTGTTTCCGGACGCCCTTCTCTACGTTCACGCGAGTTGGCGCCGGGAGCAAAGTCGATCGGCAGAATGGAATCGTCCTTTAGCTTATGAGGAGTGGGAAGAATGTGGAGAGGAGATGGCGGGGGTAACGGTTTTCTGGGACCTCTGACAGGAATGCGACCTGATGCGGATGAGAAAGCACGCGGTCCACTCGAAAATGAGGGAGTCCCGGAACGGCTTGAAGTACTGGGCGGGCCAAAGCCTGGACCAGGGCGTCGATATTGTACAGGTATTTGCGGCATTCTTGGTGGTGGAGTCATGGCTCTGCGTCCTTCGGGTTGTGCAAAGGGACGTGGATGTGCGTAGTGTCCCGGGTCGCCATACGGGTCAAACGGTCCGTAATCAGCTCCGCCAGGACCGTGATCTTCGACATAGTCATCTTGGGGCTTCGATTCATCAAAATATTCTTTGTAGAATGATCGGATACGATTAGCTCGCTGTTCTGGGTTATCTGACGGATCTTCCGGCGGCAAGGGCCGGATTCCCACGGTCAACCGGCGCGTATCAATTTGATAACCTCCATCATAGTAGTGATCATGCGGATCAAGTGTCGCCCTGGCAGCTTTGTCATTGCTAGGTGGTGCGGTTTCGACGTCCTGGATATTCAACTGCGGGACAGGCCTTTTTGGAGCTTCCGACTCATCTCCATAGTCACTCTTATCGTCATCAATCGGAAGCGAAATCCTTGGTGGTTGCGAAGGGCTAGGATAACCAGTAGCTGGTACCTCTGCTGGGGGAGGTGACTTCGAGGTGTTGTCTGGGACAGGTTCTTGTATCTTTGGCTCGTCCAGCGGAACATCCGCCTTTGTTGTTACCGGCACCCTCCCAAGATCATTTTCCGGAGACCGATCGTCACCCCGCTGGATTAATGCGCCTAGGTAATTATTACTTTTCCTGAGCACCGAATCGTCTCTTTCAGAACTACTACTCGAGCTCCGATCACCGTGACTTGAGACGGCTGTTGGGACGGTAAGTTCACTTCGACCATGGAAGGTTGTATTTCCCGATTCCGATGCGGAAACTGCTGTCGCATGATGAGGAGGGTGGCCAAGGTCACTTTCGATAGGATCCAATTCGATTGCTGGCGGGGATCGAGACATGCGCTGGGCGTTTTTCAGCAAATGTTGATTCATATCATCCCCATAGGGATATTTAGAACTGGGCGAATTATGGCTAGACGCATCGTCACCTCCGCGTTTGAAGCTTGGAGAGCATGATCGTATGGAGCCGCTATCAGCGGTAGGGAAGGCAGACGCATGGCGATATTTGTCATCCTCTCCATGTAATGACCTTGACAAAGAATGGATCGACTCATGGGATCCATGCAGGCCTGGGGGAAGTAGATAAGGGCTATTCAGCGTCAGATCCATAGAAACACCGTGCCCGCCACGACGAGTGGATTTTTCAGCCATGGATGGCCCGGTGCCTCCATTCCCGCGTCGATTGTTATTACTTCCCGAGGGCACAAAATCTAGCCCAAAATCGAGTGACTTGTGCTTATCGTTCGCATCCTCAAGGCGTAGCTTCTTGACATGTCTGCGGTGCAGGAAAAAGAAGGCGATGAACGCGCAAGTCAAGGGAATTCTAAAGATCAGGTTAGCTCAAATCTTCTAATTGCTTTTTACTTTACCTCCTAGGGGGAAATTGTATCGGGGTTAGGACGTACACTGCACCAAGAACGATTGGTAGGGTCAAAGTGGTGGTGCTGTTAACAGGACGGGTACAGACTCCGGTGGTATCGTCCGGTCCACAAGTCTTGGTCGGTACAGAAGAGCTCGATGCAGCATCTGCTGGGTTTCTCTTGACCAGCGAAGGGGGCTCCAGGGCGGTGAGGATGATGGACCGTTCGACAGGTATGGCGAGGGCGCGAGACACCAAGCGTGAGGGGTCGCGATAGGTGTGACGGGCCATCTCTCGTCAAAAAGGGTCCTTGGTACAAAAGACCAGTTATGTCAAAAAGGTCGATTCAGCGTATGTTCTATGCTATTGCAGATTGACGCCTAGTTGGAACGATCGAAGGGACTGATGAGTCGAGATAGAAGGAAGAAGGGGACTCTGGAAGCAGTGGCTGAGTGGGAGCCCCAAGTTTCATGTAAACAGATCGACCTCTCTTCTCTTCTTGAAGGTACATACAAAGATTGTGGGAGCCAAAAACAAAAAAAAGAGTGAAATGGCCGTAGTGAGGGCCTGACTACTCCGTACTATGTCAAAAGAAGGACAAAAGTTGGATTGAGCTCGCGAGAAAAGAGTGTAAGGATCAGAAATCCATGAGAAAAAAGGAGTGCCTTCTGGCTTTTGCCCCTTGGCACGGTCGTCTTGGGGGAGGGGACGGCAGAGAAGGGACTAGCAGAGCGAAGGATGCAAGGACAGGAAACGAGAGAGCTTCGACATTATGAGGAACATAAACTCCTGTCGAAACAAGGGAAGAAGCGAAGGTGAGAGGTTTGGCTGAACTGGCACGCAGGAAGGGGAACCGTGAAAGGGGAGGAGGTCCACGTTCCAAACTTGGCCAACATTGCTTGAAAAGGCTTGGCACCAGGGCTCTGCGGCTGCTGATTGGCTGGTGCGCGGACAGGGGCCAGAGCGCCAGGGCCAGAACCGGTCTAGCGCAGGGATACCAGCCAATGGCATGGGCGCGGTGCCTTCGTGGTGCGGCAGCAGCGACTCCACTTGCAATAAAGGACAGCAGCGGCGACCCGCCCTGCTTGGGCAGCCTTGGCGCCTTCCCACCGGCGGACAACTCACCGTCACGCCTGCATCTGCACGGAGATGCTCGCTGGCCATACTGCGTAGAGAGGCAGAGACTCAGATATTTGGCCGAGTGCTTACCTAGGACCGGTCTGATCCAGATTACTCCGGGTCGACAGGAGGCATTGACATGGCATGGAACCGCACAGGTACATGATCTAAGGAGCTAGATAATTAATAATTCTTCAGTCTCATCGGAGAGCCTTTCTTCCGTAATATATACTGTATGGAGCACTCTGTACTCTGTATAGTGTTCAAATAATGGCGCTACGCGGTGGGAGCAGATTCTTGCGTCCATCTTGAGCAGACGAGTGTGAAAACTGCCACAGAAGCCCATTGTGTATGTATGTATGTATGTATGTATGTATATATGTATACATACATACATACACACCCTGCACAATATACATATGAATGTCAACAGTTAGGAATCAAAAACAAGCCGGCAGAAGCAGCCACCGGTTGGTGGCGGACAGAGTGCTGCTATTCTCAGTAGTGTCTCACAGTTCCCGTCTGTGAGGCCAGGACGGTAGGGCTGAGCGACAAAACACTCCAGCCACAGATGCCAAGACAAACTAACTCACTCGATAACCAACTAGTTGAGCAGGGAAGAATTTTTTTTTAATTCTTATTTTTTTGTTTTTTAAAAAAAATCATTGGTGATTCGTTAGGGAGGACGGAGTACTCAGTACTCTGTACCAGCAATGTTTTCGGTACAATTAATTTCCCAATGTCTGGTGTGATGTTGTTTTTGACTTTCCGTTTCACCTGAAATTATGTCTTAATTGCGAGAGGTTTGTTGGACGCGGAGTGCGGAGGTCTCCGTACTTTACTCCCGGATATTTCGACACCGCCACGCGCCCGGCTGTCTCGTCGGTCTCGGCAAATGCCCGTGCCGAACTCCAAGACACCGAAAACCTACTGACATCATCAAAGCACTGACAACCCGGGTTCATCGCTGACATGGTCGGTAGGAGAGAGAAAAGTCCTGCTGGTCACTCCTCAGCTTTGGCACCAATTCGTTCGAGTAGAACGATGCGCCGTGTGAGAGTCAGGCCATTCCTCCCCTTTTTTTCTTATCTCACGAACTTGGGCCCACTTGTAGGCTATTCTTCTAGCAGAACCACTAATCATCCCCATCTGTTACATTCCAGAACCACCGATGACTTTTAACGACCTAACTCTAAAATATCAATCCGATTACGGATATTTGCCACCTTCCCCCTCATCCCCATTCTAGAGTTTATATGTAAAGTGACGGGATGCTTGTGATCCTCAATTTTTTTTTTTTTTTTTTCATTCAGTGAAAAGTCTTCTTGACCTCACTGTCGCCTCCCTATAGACATAAATATAGATGGGAACATCCGTTTTTCGTTGAAATTCCCTCTACTCTCTATTGAATGTGTATATAGCTACATACATTCGTTACCGAAAAGTTTACCCCGAAATAGTATATACTACTGTGATTTCCAATCTCCCAAGTGCATTCTCACTTTGATATCCTTGATCACTGCCATTTTCCAGTCGTAGCATTGCTCGAAAGGTCATCCTGGGTGGTGAAACCAAGTGCGCAATCTTCTCGCACCGTCCGCACTTCGTGTGAGGATGGATACCGTCTCTAGGGACGTTGAGAAGGCCGAGCAGCAGGCCGACCGTGGCCATCTACCTCCTCCGTTTGAGATAGAATCACGACGGTTGTCTGATTCCTCCATATCATCTTCGAGAACCAGTGGTTCCATCTCTAGCATAGATGGCACAGATATCTTCAGGGCCCCAACATACCGAGACTTGGAGCGGCATCCTACCGCCCTAAGTCGCATCGCCACCCAGCGAAGTCAGCATAGTGCGACAGTCGGGGCAAGCTTTCGGTCGAGGACCCCAAAGGGACCTCTGCCGGCCTTTGGGGCAGGAAAGCCATATCCACCACCACTACCGGAAAAGGAAGAGTATGTGGTCGAATTTGACGGTCCGGACGATCCCTTACACCCTCAAAATTGGAGTATGAAACGAAAGTACGTGAAGGCCCCTCCACCCCCCCGGGGGTCGATATTATATACCCAAAGCTCTGCAGAGAGACCGGTGAGCTAACGATACTTTTTCTTCTGGAAACTAGAGTGGCAACTGCCGTAATACTTGCCTGGACGACTATCATCTCATCTTTTACCAGCAGCATCTTTTCTACAGTGACCGGTGACGTAGCCAGGGTATTCGGGGTGTCCGTTGAAGTTGGCATTTTAGGATTGTCACTCTTTGTCCTTGGTTACGCGACCGGCCCTATTATCTGGGCACCTTTGTCTGAGCTCAAAGGACGTCGACTACCGATCGTTTTGAGCATGTTCGGATTCACGGTTTTCCAATTCGGCGTTGCAACCGCTAAAGATCTCCAGACCATCATGCTCTGTCGGTTCTTCGGAGGTTTCTTTGGAGCCTCCCCTGTAGCCGTAGTTGCGGCTGTCTTCTCCGATATGTTTGATAACCGCCTCAGGGGCCTCGCCATCACACCGTTCTCTATGACTGTGTTCACTGGTCCGCTTTTGGCGCCATTCATTGGTGGCTTTATGGCTGAAAGCCACCTCGGCTGGCGCTGGACCTCGTATCTCCCTGGAATCCTGGGCGTCAGTGCATTCGTTCTTAACTATTTCTTTCTCTCAGAGACCTACCCGCCCGTCGTACTTGTTCAGAAAGCGGCCGAATTGCGCCGTCGTACTAAGAACTGGGGAATCCACGCCAAACAAGAGGAGATTGAAGTCGACTTTGCCGAGCTTGTTCAGAAGAATTTCAGCCGACCCCTCAAAATTCTGTTTACGGAGCCTATCGTTCTTCTTCTCAGCATATACACCGCTTTTATTTATGGTCTTCTGTATCTTTTCTTGACAGCCTATCCCATCGTGTTTCAACAAATTCATGGTTTCAGTCGGGGCGTCGGTGGCCTCCCGTATTTTGGCATGATTGTTGGTCAATTCATCGGTGGCATGTCCATTATCCTTTCACAAGGATGGTACACTCAAAAACTTGCTGCAAATAATAATATCAGCGTTCCCGAATGGCGTCTCCCTCATGTTATTGTTGGAGGCATCGCATTCGCGGCTGGTTTGTTCTGGTTTGGTTGGTCCGGCTATAAAGCGAGCATCCACTGGATTGTGCCGACGCTGTCCGGCATCCTGACGGGATTCGGGCTCTTGGTCATCTTCTTACAATCTATAAACTATATTATCGACGCATATATATTATTGTATGTCTCCATGTTGGCCTTCTATTTTGTTTGATTCTGGCACTTATCGTCAAGTATGCGCGCTTACTGACTATATCACAGCGCTGCCTCTGCCATTGCTGCCAACGCGCTTCTTCGGTCACTTGCCGCTGCAGGATTCCCGCTCTTCTCCCGGTTTATGGTAAGCTGCCCGTTTCAAATTCCTAGTTCTTGGTAGCTAATACTCACAAATTCTTTTTAGTTCAATGCACTGGGAATGAACTGGGCTGGTACGCTCCTTGGCTGCGTTGCGGCCAGTTTGGCGCCAATCCCACTTATCTTCTATCTCTACGGCCATCGGATTCGTGCGAAGAGCCGTTTCACTCCGCAATTTACCCCAGAGCAAGAAGTAGATTATCAACAATAAATCCCTTCGACTAAGAACCAAACAAATGATTTAAATAGACTCGGAGGTGTTTTACGGTCCCACTGAGCTTTGAACTTTACTAGTCTATTTTCGCCCACTTGACGTTATCTGCCATTGCTTGTCATCGCATGCTTTATTCTCTTGAAAAATCCCTCTGCGTTGAGCCCATCATGAGGGACATGGACGTGGAACTTACACTATATACTACTTTAATACCTGCTGCTTGTGATACCCCTTAGTTAATGCTGACTAGCACTGAGTCAGCAATGAGATGAAAGTTTTATTTTTACTGCTAGCTCTTTATAAATGTATTGGATCCTGTTTTGATTTGTTGCAACAGCTGCAGGGCGACAATCCCACATGGCATGGAAAAGAAGTGATTTCCTAGTAAATGCCATTTGGGTAAAGTTTCCTTTCAGGAAGGTTGATAGCCTCCAGGGAATAAGAGATCTGTTTTTGAAGTTAATTCGTTTTAAAATTTATCATGTCACTAAACTCGTAGGGGAGCCAGACGTTTGAAGGTGGATAGATCCTTTATAAGATAACTTTTTTAAAAAGATACCATCGGCTGGAGTTGAGAGACCATCCTGACGCGCCAGATTAAGCAAATAGGTGTAAAAAACGAGAGATGGGTTTATCTGGTAGCTTTTCTATCTTGTGTTCCAAGGTGATGTGTAGTGTGTATGCTATTCAGCTCTCACAACTACGCATTGACCATGTCCTCAAGTTCTTGGTGGACATGAGGCAGCCAGTGGACCATAAGTACACATTAGTTCCCAAAATTCTCCCAAATCAAGGTAAGAAGGTCTAACATATACAGCATGCACATATGTGAACAGCATGGATATGTGATTAGCGGCTAATCCTTGAGATAGACATCATACAATCCAGGAATCTCATATTCAAATTCCATATTCGAGAGAAGGGGGCCATGGATTGTCGTTTCTCGACCATCAAGACCTTGCCACTGATACTGGTTATGCCTAAGCTTTCTAATAAAAATAGCTAGCTAATCTATTGGCAAATGCTTCAATTCATATATATATCCTTTGTTTATGTCTGAACAACATTTCCTCTCCTTTTCACAAACCTCTCTAGGCTTTCACTAACGCCCCATCCATCTACTAACAGACTTTTAACATCCTCCAATCCAAGCCCACTCATCTCAGGATAAATAGCCCACACGGCAAGCCAGCCCACAATGCAGACAACTGCATAAATCAAAAATGTCCAACCTGGTGAAATGAACTCCATTAGTGGCAGGAATGTAAGCCCAACGAGGAAATTTGATCCCCAGTTCGTCGCGGTTGCGAGTGCAGAACCGAGGGATCGGACCTGAAGGGGAAACAGTTCGGATTGTTGCCAGGGAACGTTCCCCAAACCAGAGGCATAGGAAGCGGTATACATTGTCAGGGATATAAGAATGAGTACGGGTTTAAGGCCCGATTGGGGAGCAGCTGCGTAGTCGTTGCTGTCGACTCCGGCAGCCACCCCTTTACCCGGAGTTGGAAAGATATCCATAGAAGGGAATACGGCTGCACAGAAGAGAAGGGAGAGGGCCATGATTGGAATAGATGAGAGAAGAATTCGTCTTCGGCCGATACGATCGATGAGGGAGAAAGCTAATAAGGTAAAGATGAAATTCGTCACAGCCACTGATAGCGATGTTAACGTTGGCGAGGAAAAAGAAAGGAGATTGAAAATGGTTGCCGAAAAATACATCAGCGAATTGAAACCACAGAGTTGTTGAAAACCCTGTAGCATACAAGCTATAATCAGGGCACGGCGATTTGAGGGAATTCGGAATAGGCTGCTCCAGGATTGGAGCATAGAATTTAGGCATTGTGAGGCCTCGGACGTCGCGTCTTGCTGTGGGGCCAACCTTTGGATTTCTTCATTAATATCATTCTCGATATCTCGAATGATCCGATCGACCGCCTGTCTGATTATATCAGACTTGCCGTAAACTTTGCCTAATACCAGACGGGCTTCATTATCCTTGCCGGCTTTCACTAGCCACCGTGGTGTCTCTGGGAGGAATATAAGGATGAAAAGTTGAATCAAAGCTGGGAGGGCGCCGAGCCCAACCATCCAGCGCCAGCCTGATGGAGCTGTAGATAGTAGCCACCCGGTTACATAGGCAGTTACCTGGCCACCGGTGATGAAAAGCGCGAGAACAGTCACTAATCTGCCCCGAATTTCTGACGGGGAGAGTTCAGCAATGTACCTAGATTTAGAGGTGCAGGATCGAATCAGCACGCCATTCAATAACGTCGTAGATGTGCTGCACTCTTCCGCAACGGCTTGAACCAGCAGAAAGGAGAAATCAAGACGTTGCTCGCCCGCACTTGAGCGCATCTTTACGTACAAGGGCGTAATCAGACTTGCCGCTCCAACGGCCAACCCCACCAAACTCCGACCGACAATCATGCCACTGACATCTGAGGTGGCCGCTTGCCACAGAGCGCCGACGACGAATAGAGCGTCTGCGATCAAGATGACGGGTTTTCTTCCAAGCCTGTCACCTAACGCTCCCGCAATGGGACTCGAGATAAGCGCGAATAGACTTGTGGATGATGTGATTAAGCTCTTATCCAAGGTTGTCAGCTCTCGATGGGACAGATCCGTCTTGATGCATACTAAGGTCGATGAAATGACGCCGGTACTACATCACCAGGAAGCACAAAGTCAGGACAGGTGGATGAAACAAGCGTACGATAAGCAAGTAGGGTATAAATTTGTGATATATATTTCCATCTTTGAATCAGACATAACCCAATGCCAGATATGGGAAATGGGCCAAACGGCTAGAGTCGTACTCATATCCAAACAGCAGTCCACTGAGGCCTGCGGATAGTGTAAGTGCCCATATAAACCACGTCCCCGAGCCATTAGGAATCAAGTCCTCCGTAGCAGCTTTAGCACCTGCGTGAGCGCCTTCTCCTCCTAAGAGTGTCCTCGACTGGGACCACGATCGAGGGCTTGTTCGGTTCTCGGAGAGTAGAGGAGCGTCGGGGTTGTTGGCGTTATCGTCGTCCATATCTTGTATTTCTTGGGTTTCTGGCCTTCTTCCCTGTTCTGCAGATTCCGGGCTTCCGGCTTTGCTATTTGGTGGAAGGGAATAGCTTGCGAATGAAGTTCATCATCACGGTTAGAGGTGTTGAGTACAGAGTACGGAGTAGAAGGGGCCGGATAGTCTGGATGCGCTTGGCGGTTAACCCCCCTCAGATTCCAAGCTAGCATGTTCGGAATAACCCACGGAGCCAGCATCCCGTCAGGTCCCAACTGGCTGGCTGGAGGAGCAGTATCTGCCGTCTTCGGCTTTCTGCTATGTACGGTGTAGAATACAAGCGGCTAGTAGATGAACAAATCAATTCTTGGGCCTGAGAGAGCAAAGTTATCTACTCCCTAAACTACGCACAATGTCTAGAAATCATATAGTCATACTTTTTAAAGAATACTAGGTTGTTTTTAAGGTGGTTATTAGCAAATATACTATAAAAGCGAAGGCGAACTTGCTCTCCAGTAATTTCGCCAGTATTAGGGGCTTACACTAAGGCTCAATGAGCGGCAACAACACCGGCTGCGTTTGCCTGCTCTGAAATCCTCTTTTTATAAGCATTCACGTCCCCTGGGAATTTCTCCACTGTACCACCATCACACACCCACAAACTTGTACAAACGTTTTGGAGTAGGGTGACATCGTGGGACACAATCAGAACGCCACCCTGGAAGTTTTGAAGTGCCTCAGAAAGCGCATCCATCGCTTCGATATCGAGATGGTTGGACGGTTCGTCCAGGACCAAAATGTGAGGATTGGTTAACGATATGCATGCAAATGCCACACGGGACTTTTGACCTCCAGATAAGAGCTCCAGCTTTTGAAGGCCAGTCATGCCAGTAATGCCGAAACTGCGATCGCCAGTAAGCCTCAAGTATTTTGGATGAAACTTCGCAGGAGAGTGGCAGGGACTTACGCTCCTAGATGTCGTCTATACTCTTCCTCCGTTTTTCCCGGATAATTCTTGGCCATGAAGCCTACAGCGCTCGTGTTCATATCCAGGGCGTCAACATGATGCTGGGCAAAAAACCCAACCCGGAGTCTGGGGTGCTGAGATATAAGTCCAGACGAGGGCTGTAGTTGACCAGTAAGAAGTTTCAAAACCGTCGTTTTTCCCGCCCCATTAGGCCCGACAATACCTATTCTCGAATCTAACTGCACGTCAAGGTCGACATTTTTTAACAAAACCTTGTCTTTCGTGTATCCAAAAGAGACTTCGGACATTTGGACGATAGGAGGTGACAGCTTCTCCACATCAGGGAATTTGAAGTGAACCACGTATTCGTTCTCTGGGGGAGTAAGGACTGGCATCCGCTCAAGCTTCTTAATTCTCGACTGAGCTTCAGCCGCTTTGGCAGCATTGTACCTGAATTTATCAATGAAAGCTGGAAGGAGCAAAATTAGCCAATGTTTCACCATGATACGTGCCTTGAATTGAGTATACCTTGCAAGTGCGCTCTCTGTGCCATTTGGTTCTCATACTCTCTCTTTGCATTTTTCTTCCGCTCTTCCTTGGTAGCATAGAACGAATCTGACCGATCGCAGTTAGTCTGGTGCTAGTCGCCTCGAATAGAATTTTTATGCTCACCGAAATTTGCTCCTCTATAGTAATCCAATCTTTCTGAATGTTGGTGGATAATATCGGTAGCCACCTCATTTAGAAAAGCTCGGTCGTGAGAAACGACCAGAACGGTGCTTGGATATGTTTGTAGATAGTTCGACAAGAATGTGATAGACGGGACGTCCAACATATTTGACGGTTCTAGGATTATCAGTTACGACGTTTTAACGACGGATACACCTGGGGAAGGATTACCGTCAAGCAGTAGAAGATCAGGTTCGCAAAACAGAGCACGAGCCAAGGCCAATCGCATTCGCCAACCTCCGGAAAATGTTTTCGTAGCGTATTGCTGTCGCTCTGGGGAGAAGCCCAGTCCTGCCAGAATACTTGCTGCCCGTGGTTCAGCCTTGTCTGATTCCATTTCCGCTAATTTAGCGTGGATATCGGCGAGGGTGGTATCAAGAGCCTCTCGTTCTTGGTCTAATCTTAATGCATCTTTGGAAGTATCTGCCATAGTCGATCTCTCCGCATCAATATTTGCGAGTTGGGATGTAATTTTCTATTGAATGGGTCAGTTTCGCTTCTCTTATAAAAGAAGAAACTTGCCTACGTTTTGGTCTTCTAGGAGACGCTTTCGCCAAACGTCGGCATCGAGAACCGCCTGTAAGGCTGGTGTATCATCACCCCTTATCTAGTCAAAAACATCAGTATACAGTCATATATTATTGTGCATGCATAGAAAATGGGATGTGTTCACTAACCTCCTGTTCCACGTGGAGGATGGAAATGTGTGTTGGAATAGCAACCTCTCTACGACTAAGGGCTCGCAACAGTGTACTTTTTCCAATTCCGTTCTGGCCAACTAGACCATAGCGCCTCCCATAAGCTAAAGTTAAAGAGGTATCTGTTAATATCCGATTTCCCGCGATAGAGATGTCTATTCCATCCACTTTAATGTCTTTGCTCTTTGACTGTGAGTCGGACCCCAATTGTAGAGGGTTAACAGCCATGAAAAACTCTTCGTACGATTGCGTAGCATCAGGTTGATTGATGAGTTTTGAAGCCTCATACTCGACATTTTTCATAGTCTTCTTATCTTGTTTGGCTCGGATTTTCCTTTCTGCCTTTTCTAGCTTCTTTTTGTCCACACGGGACTCGACCTTTCTGGATGCAGCTGCCTCAAGGTCAACAGCAACACCTGTCAAACCTAAGGTCGAAGAGATATTCCTTTGAGATCCCACATGGATCGTTTGGTCGAGCTTTTTAGCAGCAAAGGGCATTTGCCTACGTTCCGGATCAACACCATTTGCGGCGCTTAATGAGGAGATGAATTTCTCCACCAAGTTCCGGATTGTGGTTTCATTTTCGGAACTGAAGTCTCCAGAAGCAGACAGTAATAAAGAAGTTACAGTTTCCGCTGCTTCTGACAAAGGTGATGGAGCTGTGGGATCCATGTCCTCTACATAGGCTTTGGAGGCATGGGTGAGATAGCCCTATGAACAAGTGTAAGATATTTGAACAGCCATGGGGAGTCTATCGTTCACCAGTCTATTCCCCTATTTTAACAGGCGAGGTACACCTTACCACTGAATATTCTGATATCACATGATCAATACCAGGAATTTGTGCCTGGATTTCAGATTCCATGATGGGTAGCACAAATTGTAAAAAGTAAACTTCTGGGCTTGCAGCACAAATATCAGTCTAGAGTTAACAGTTTATTCTTGTATGAACAGATGGGGAAAAATTTTTGGGTTTCAATCATACATGGCTTATGTTGTGGTGCATGGAGAGTTCACTTCCAATGAGTTTGAACTCTTGAATTTGATGACTAAGAGATAAGGTAGTTCACCACTAAACAAGCCACACCACTAAACAAGCCACACCACTAAACAAGCCAAATTTCGCCAAATGCTCCACGCAATGAATTTATTAAATATCTCAACAACCAGATCTTTATTATTAAATAGCTATTAAATATTAAATAAATGTATTCTTTAAAGCATAGAAATTAGTATAGTGTTAGGTGAACTGGTCATAGGTCACATAGGTTTTCCCAGGATTAAGGGTACAAAAGAGCTAAGTAGGTATGATGCCTGCAACTGATGAGAGAGAGTCATGCATAAAATGTAGGGGTTCCCTCACTTGGAGACTGAACACTGGGATTCCCATAATTCATGCAAATTGTGTGATTCTTATATGTTCAGTGTTGGGGTTATATAATATCCCTGAACATCCAATATTGTCTGATACTTGATTAATCTAGATCTATGTTCATAACACTATCCCCCCCTCCAGAGATCTCAGACTCTGAGACATAAGGCCACCAAAGTGATTTTTCATATATTATTATAGCTTCTCTATCATTGGTGGAGCATTGTAGGTTCTTAAATATATAAGCTTCTGCATTACTCACTGCTTGTCTATATAGACATCCTGTATATATATTACTGCCAGTTGCAGTAGACATCCTTTATTATAGAACAGTAATTATTTTATTACAAAAGTTCAGCATTTTATTATATACTTATTTCTTTATTTGTTTGCTTGTCTGGTTGCTATGTCATCTGTTGTTTATTGTCATATTGTTTATTAACAAGTCATGGAACTAGTAATCTTGATACATTATAACAGATATAAATAGAGAGTTTCTGACTTTTTTCTTTCTTCTTTTCTTCTGCTTTGTTTGAACTCAGATATCATTCCTCATTTATTTTATAACTTGTTATGATATTATTGTTGAAAGATTCTGTTGTATATAATAAAGAAGACACTCTTCTATACTTCATCTGTATTTACTTAATATTTACAGACTATCTAGATGAAGACAAGTCTTGTCTATAGAATGCTGAGAAGAAATCTTATTCTTATTATTTAGAATATCAAATCTATATCTGTTATAATATAAATGCATCTTCATCTGTTCTTCTTGTTGTTCTGATATGACTGTAGATTCCAGAATCCACTGTCAAACTAGTTCATTAGCTCTTGTGACTTCAAGAAGAATACTATAGTTTTGATGCAGCCAATCCATATTATCTGTACAACATCAAGTGCATGAGTATACTCATGTGTGAATTTTGTGAACTTAACTTAGAAGCCACTAAACATCACCATCACTAGACCACTTTTACTATTAAAGAATCTTTCATGAAATGTTGTTGTCCTACCTCATATTATATAGTCAAGATTATAAATCTTATATTCAAGATGAAATTTATCAAAAATAATCTGTCTGAGTTTTCTTGTTCATCAAGTCTAGTTTGTACTGTTCTCTCTCAGATAGAAAATAAAGTTGCAAATATTCAAGTCTTGCTTGATCATCTTATAACTTGTTTGACAAGTGGAATCAAAGCTCTTCAAAATAGTACAGAAATTAGTTTTATAGATCTTCTGTATTATCTTACTTGTTCTTAGACTAACTTCTGCTTAGGTCAACCTCATATCTTCTATTAATTATCTAACCAATATTGTTTCTTCTGATTTTTAGAGTATTATAGAAATACTTTATTTTTTTTTTACTTCTTTATCTGTAATATCTTTCTCTGTGACTGTATCTTCTGTTGTGATTTCATTCATTATCATATCAAATATACCTGTGACTCCCAAGCCTTGCTTGTCTATAGCTGGTTTGCCATCATCACAGCCATATCTCAGATGTTCTTGTGGTACATCTTCTTATTATTAAATTCTTGATTTTGTAGACACATTGTGATCTTTATGTTTGTTTTATGTCATATTTATCTTTCTTTCTGTATATAGATTCATTTATCTTCTTGTAATTTCATCTTTTCTTTAGGTAATTCTTAAGAGTTTCTTGTGCATTTTTGAGATTTTTCTCAGGTTCCTACATCAATTTCTTAATAGAGAATTCTTTTCACTTCACTAGATAACATCTCTTGTGGTAGCATACTTTGTTATTCAAGATTTCATCTACTTTCCACTCATGATAGTTGTCTACCAGTACTGTGGGAGAACACATTGATATCTCACTCATTCTTGTGTGGTACAGTTCCAACAATGAGATATGGAAAACATCATGAATCTGATAGCTCAGAGAGAGCTTCAGTCAATATATATTATTTTCTATAACCTCTATTATTGAGAAAGATCTATAGTACTTGTCATCTAACTTCTTGCAAGAATATATTGTTTGTAGATTTCTTGATAACAACATCACTTTATTACCAGATGCATACACTTTATCTTAACATCTTCAGTTATAGAACTGTGCTTGATTCTCTTTTGTTTTTATCAAATATTCTATCAGACTATCTCTTAATGCAGAGATTATTCTCAGTCTTCCATCAGGCATTATTTATGTATTATTATTATTGTCAATCAACTTCTGAATCTCATCTGGTTCTCTAGATTTGAAGCTATATATTGCTTTGAACAGAGACATGTGCATTACAGAGTGTTCTGATCTGTTATATGCAAATTCTGCATATACAAGCTACTTCTCCCAGTTGTCTTGTCTATAACTACAATAAACATGAAGATATTTCTCTAAAATCTTGTTCAGTATCTCTGTTTGATTATCCATTTGTGAGTGGAATGCTGTACTAAGTTTTTGTCTAACTTTTATATAAAAATATAGCTCTGATCAGTATTCACTTGTGAAAACAGATCTCCAGTTCAAAACAATATTATTTGAAAATTTAAAGTCTTTAAATATTCTTCTGAACAGAAGATTTGTCATTTCTGGCATATTAATCTTCTTTCTATATATAAGAAAACATGTAAGCTTTATAAATCAATCCACAACAACCAGAACTACATTGTATGGGTTTCTCTTCTCTTTACTTAGAGAGAGATCTGTTATAAAGTTTATGAATATTGAATATCAGAGACCACTGAATGTCAGCAATAATACAAGTAACTTATATAATTTATGCATTGGAGTCTTCTCTTATTAACAGATTTAGCATTTATATATATATATCTGAATATCTTGTCTCATCAATTGCCAATTGTATTTTTGTCAGAGCAAGATAAATATCTTCATCATACTAAAGTAATCTGCAAATGAGTTATTGTGGTGGACTTATAGTAGTTCCTGCCTTAGAGTCAGATTATTAGAAATGTAGATTTTATCACTCTTTATTAAAAGATCTTATTTATTTATTTTCCACTCTGACTGCTGAGATTCTGTCTCAGCAAATCTTACTTGTATAGAGAGATTATCTCTCTGTGCTTCTAGCAGCAGATTCAACACTCTTACAATTAATTTATTATAGATCTTTTTATTTTTTATCATTATGTTTATGTATATACAGAAAATACAGAATCTTCTGCAATTTCTTTATTAAGTCTTCCCAGCATCTTTAGCTAGTGCTTTCTGAACTGACTTAACTATCTTGATGTCATCAGGTCTTCTCTGTACCATCTCTACTCCACTGCTTTAGACAGCACAAGCAGCACATACTTGAATATCTTCTTTATTAAAGAAAGTTTCTTCAAATAGATCCCACTCTGGAACATCATCTGTATAATGTTGTTTGAGTATATATGTTGGCAGATCAATATCTTTTTCTAGTTTGATATAATCTGATCTTTGTGATAATGTATCAGCTGAATTATACTTTCCAGAGCAGTAGAGAATCTCAAAGTCATACACTTCAAGAATCTCTATTTATCTTACATGTTGTTGTTGTGCCATCTTGTTTGTGGACTTTATAAATAAACAAAGATTTGCATAATCTATAATAATCTCTACAGAATACTTTATTTCTTCTAAGTACTGTCACCAATAAATAAATACTCAGATAATGACTAATATCTTCTTATTCAGTGTGCTATAGACTTATTGAGTCTGGTCAAACTTGAATAATCAGTAGATAACTGGATGTCATCTATCTTCAAACAGCTGTAGTAATATTATACCTGCAGCATGTTCCAAAGCATTCATCTCCAGACATATTCTACATTCTGAATCATGGTGTCAGATGACAGGCTCTCTAGAGAAAACTATCTGCAACTTGTAAAATACTTCTCTGACAGCAGAAATCAGAAGAAAAAATTCTTTCTTTCTTCTCTTTTTACTGCTCTTCAAGAGATCTGTCAACAGCACTACAATAATCAAGTACTTTTATATAAATCTTCAATAGAAGTTTGTAAAACCCAGGAATATCTGAATATTATAGAAACTTCATGACAAGAATCACTTCATAATCATCTGTACCCACTTTGGGTCCATCTTAATATCTTCATTATCAATGATATATCCAAGATATGAGATCATTCACTTTTTGTTAGGGGAACTGGTTGTAGGTCACATAGGTTTTCCCAGGATTAGGGATACAAAAGAGCTAAGTAGGTACAATGCCCACAACTGATGGGAGAGAGTCGTGCATAAAACATAGGGGTCCCCTCACTCAGAGACTGAACACTGGGGTTCCCACAATCCATGCAAATTGTGTGATTCTTATACATTCAGCATTGGGGTCACATGAATACCTCTGAACATCCAACATCATCCAATGCTTGGTTGGTCTAGGTCTATGTTTGTAACACTATCCCCCCCCCCAGAGGCCTCGGACTCCAAGGCATAGGGCCACTGAAGTGGTTTTTCATACATCATCATAGCTCCCCTATCATTGGTGGAGCATTGTAGGTTCTTGGATGTGTAAGCTTCTGCATTACTCACTGCTTGTCTATATAGATATCCCACATGTGTATCACCACCAGTTGCAGTAGACATCC